AATATAAATTAATAAATAATTAGAGTATTGGTGAATTATTTTTTGACATGAATCTGCTAAAATCACGTGTGATTGATAGACCTAATAATAATTATATATAAAATATGCAACTTTATGAATTAAGATTCTTTCAAATATACTTTTTCTCATTTTTTTTTTTATTTTTAGTGGACTACTTATCGTAAATCTAAGTATGACCCATTATATTTAAGTGAATCTCTCGCTCATTATAAAAAAAAATTATTAGAAGCAATATGGCTCCTGGAATTAGTGGACATTTTATTAAAATTGGTATTTTCTATAAAGAAAGTTTATGTTTCCTTTTCATTTCTTTGCTTCTTGACATACTATTGTAGAACTTGTCAAAGAATTAGATGAATTTTATTTTATCAAGATATTCATAAAAAATAATTTTTTTTATAAATTTTTTAAAAATATAATACATTTGATTGAGAGATTTTTTTTCCATCACGAGAAAAATAAGATTCACATTTTATGTGGCTTATGAGTTTACAAGTTAATTTAATCATGAAAGAAAGTTCAAAAATACGATTTCAATGTAAAATAATAAAAAATAATATAATCTGGACATTACATGGTCCAATTAAATTAATTTTTTTTAATTTTAACTTTTAAGTACGAGTAATAAAATATGACACAATTCGTTAACACAACGTAAATATAATATAAAATTAAATAATTTAATTCTTTTTTAAACTCAATATAACACGAATCATTACCCGCAAATCTATTTTTTGATAGGAATCAGCTTTACTAGACACGAGTGATAGGACTAGGTTTAAGTAACCATTTTTCATCCAAGTTGCTGGCTTGGTGGCAAAACCGTCATTTTGCTTCATATGAAATCCAAAAGTCCAGAAAGACCGAGAGAGAGAGAGAGAGAGAGATAGACTCATAAGTTAAGAACAAGCTGGCGGTTGGTACACTGAAGCGAAGCATCCAGCAATTGCGACGACAACCGTCGAGACAAGTGCAGGCGAGGCGGCGATGGAGGAGCAGCAGCAGCAAGTGTTGATACCGCCGGTGAAGAAGACGATCATGAAAGTCTTGGTAGCCATCGACGAGAGTGATGCGAGTTTCTACGCGCTCAAGTGGACACTCGATCGTCTCTTCCGGCGGTCTGCCGTTGCAACGCCGACACCGGAGCCATCCAACCTGGAGGATTCCGACGTGCTCACCGTCGTTCATGTCATCCAGCCATTTCAACACTACATCCTCCCGGCTATACCCCGTTCGTGTTCCTTACTCAGCCCCTGCCCTGCGCGCACACACACACAAGCACGCAGATTCAGCGTATTCTCTCATTCTCTTATTCTTTGGCAGCGGTGCCTGTGTATGTGGATATGGAAGCTTCAAGGAAGGTTCAGGAAGAGAATGTTGCTTCAATACTCTCTCGTGCATTACGGATGTGCAAAGAAAAAATGGTAATTGGAAAGTAATTAAATGACAAGCTGTATCCTTCTTTTTTACTTCATTATAGTCATCCGGGTGATCGATCATCTTTTGTATGTGTTGAGTTATCTGCAGATCAAAGCAGAAACTTTAATTCTTCAAGGAGACCCAAAGGAAATGATTTGCCAAGCTGTAGAGGATATGAATGCTGATCTTCTTGTTGTTGGTAATCGAGGACGAAGCAAGATCAAAAGGTAAACTTCTAAATATCTGGCTAGCATTTGATGGATATCTAAGGCTAAATTCTGGTAGCTGGACATGATAAATTAAAGCGCACTACTTTTGGTACTGATACAAACATGCTCAAACGAAGACATACAAATAGGCCAGTCAATCAATTCATGTCGGGTAAAGCGGGTTTGTGTTATTAATATCTGATTTATTTATTAATTTGTGTTATATCGGGTTCGTGAATTCACTCATATCGGATTCATTTATTAATCGTGTTATTTATGTTAAATTTACATGTTTACGAAACGAGTGATTTAAAGAAGACTCAAACTTTTATTTTTTGTTATGTTAACAAATTATGTCATATTTTTGTTACTCTTCCGTACAAATATACACTAAACATATAAATAATATGTGTTTTTTTATGTCATAACTTTTCTATTATGTCTAAAGGATTATAATTTGTACCAAATGACTTAAACAGAACAGGACTGTTTGGACACTATTATCAAATTTACTTACCCATTTAGGTGTTATTTTTTTTAGTTAATGGTTAGGGGTATTAGAGCCGGTATGCTCGCACCTTAACTAATTTTCTTTTCGGTCTGATTAAAGACAGACCATCTACGTCAGAACTAGAATATTCACGAATGATAAATCTCTCATAGTCAGACTCAAGTGATATCTCCGTACTAAAATTGACCTCAACACCTTTGGCAAATGCAAAAATGTCTAGTCATCGGTCTGATAGCAGAAGATGTTTAAATATGAAAATTTTGAGCAGGGCCAAAATCAAATTTCAAAAGTAGGGGTTCCCTCCTTCACCAGTGATTGCTGGAATAATCCACAAACTTCTGGGTATTAGTTTATAAAAAAAAAAAAAAAGAAGAGAAAAAGAAGAAAAACTTGAGCAGGGGCTAGGGTTAGCAAAAGTAATTTGTCTTCCTGACTGTTGTTTCTTGTGCTTTTTCATTGCAGGGTCTTGTTGGGTAGTGTAAGTGATTACTGTGCTCACCATGCAAAATATCCAGTCCTCATTGTGAAGCCAGGAAAGGAGTCGTCCCAGAAGTGATGGTCTCCATGTGTTTGTAACATTGTCTGTGAGGAGACTCAAGAACATCTCTTGTATTCTGTGTAATGTAATCCTTGTAAACAGGAGGCAGCTCTAGCTTCATGCAATAAGGGATTTTGAATCCTTACGCTTTTGTGTCTGATAGTAAAATTAAAATATTTTCCGAGCAATGTTATTTATATTTAATTTATTGACTTAATCTGTTAATTTAATTTATTATAACCCTAAAATTGACGATAATAATGTTAGTAGATTAAGTCAAAATTTTAGGTCTGAATAATATAACTTTTATTCCACTCACTAATTTTTAGAAAAAATAAAGTGGCATACTCATTTACCACTTAAATATTCTTAGGTTTCTTTTATTTATATTTTTGGGCTGCGAGACCATCTTCTTTACCCCAAGGTTGCGTGATTTGTGTCAAGATCAAAATCTATTAGTATTAAAATTTTAAATTTTAATATTTTGAAATGATTAAGATATAATATTTTTATTAATATTTCAGATTTTTTTTTTGAAATATTTTAAAATATTTGTATATATTTCAATTAATATTTTAAAAAATTTTAGAAATTAATTTTTAACATTTTTATTTATTTTTAAATTATTTTTATAGACGTTTCTTTCCTCTCCACCTAGATAGAAGTAAATATATGAGAGTTAATTTTAATGTTCTAACCTCCGCATGATTAAAAAAAAGTAAAAAATTTTAGGAAGAAAAAGATCAAATCCAATCATTATACATTGTCAACATAAACAAATGAAATAATCAAGAATCTCGACAGAAAGTCTATCTATTTTTAATCTCTAATAAAAGTCGAAAAAATTGATTCCTTTGCATTTGTCTACTCATACTTTTTAAGCCATCAAAAAAATATATTGAAATAACATTTTAATTATTAAGTTATGTATGTCTAATTCTATCTATATCTCGCAAGAGTCTCATATACTGAATTATTTTTATTTATTTTTTAATATCAAATCAAGTTTTTTTAGATCGATTCTTACTTAGATTAGGTAAAATTGTGATTTATTATATAAATAAAATTGAATTTGAGTCCCAAAAAAATAACTGCTAAAACCTAAAATGTCCAATCTGTGGGTGTAAAAACCTTGTACGGAAACACTACTATACCATTGACTTATTTTTTGGTACCATATTGAAAAGTAATTTAGCATAACTATGTTCCACGTGTCACTCTAAAATTGATTTCACCGGTATATAGTTGAACCATAAAAGTTGTTACCAAAAAATGGTAACTAGCCCAAAAATCGTATCTTATTCCCAAAACTTGTAACACTCAAAGATATTGTAATCTAACCCACAAAATTGGAATATACCAAAAAAATTGAAATCAAATCCACGAAAGTTAAAACTCTAGAAAAGTTGTAATCCATCATAATATGCAAATTGCCATTATATGTAACCTCTAGCATATCATATAAATTTCTCTATATTTACAAAACTTTTGAATGGTTATCTTATGGTTAACATATGATATATAAAAATTATTTATTACTTGTGCTTGAAGATACAGAGTAATAAAAAATGGTAAACAATAAATATATTTGTATTTATATCTAAAATTAAATCATAAAAATAGAGAAAAGATAAAAAAATTTAAACATCAATTTATAGTGGGGGTGAGAAGTGATGGGCGACAGTGGTGATGGTTGTGGTAAGTGGCAATGATCGTGGTGATGGGAGCGATAATAGGGGTGGTGGTGGTGATGACAACAGTGGTGGTGGCGGCGACAATGATGACGGCGGGGTGGTGGTGGTGGTAGAGGTACAAATACTATTTTTTTAAAGTATTTATGAAAAATAATTTGTAAAATTATTTTTAAAAAGTTATTTCAAAAACAACTAAGAACTTATTTTTACTATTAAATAATATATATATATATATATTTTTTCATGATGGGTTTTGTGTCATGTTTGTCACCCTTGTCCTTGTCGTTGTCCTTGTCGTTGTCCATGTCCTTGAAAGCAGGATTAAATTTTAAGCTAAAGCTTTATTTGCCTGTCCAGGCTACACTTTGCAGTTTTGTTCTAAAGATCCTAATGGGCTACTTTTTAGACTGTAAGAAGCTATTTCTTCTTTTTCAGTTTCTCCGGATAATGGAGTTTTGCAAGCAATTCACAATGGTGATGCATTTGATACAGTTTGTGGTTCATATTCCTCAACAAAAAAAATTGTGAGTTGATGAAGATCTTCACCAGATCCCCAAGAAATCTGATGGGTTGTGTTGGAAAATACAAGGTGGGGCCATTTTATATGCATGATTGAGTTTCGCTGGCCCATCATCAGTGTGTCTCCATTCTTATCTCATAGATTAGGTATAGAGCAACTCTGTTCTGCTGAGTTGCTTACGGTCTCCACCCACCCAAGGAGAATATGCACCCAAGGGAAGGGTCTTAATGGTAGTTAAATTTGTTGAATTACTGAAATGCCATCTATTTTCTCTTGTTCCTCTTTCTATGTTCCCAATTTATTTAATAAATAATGATGCCGGAGTATGATACGACTCATTAACACGGTATAAACACGATATAAAATTAGAGGATTTCAGTCTTTATTAAGTTACGTGTTTCGTAAAGGAACGGGTCAGATATGACATAATTAATAAATAAATCGAGAATGAGTGAGATCGATAAAAAAAAATATACATGATACGACTCATTTATATATTGATTATATACGTTTTATACACAATACAAATCTGATATAACATAACTCGTCAGACATGAATTAATAAACAATTTGAGTATTAGTAAAATATTTTGTGATATAAATCTGCTAAAATCAAATACGATCAACAAATTTAATAATAATTAAATTTAAAATATGCAACTTTATGAATTAAGATTCTTTTAAATATATTTTTTTCTCATTTTTTTTTTTATTTTTAGTGGATTACTTACTGTAAATTTAAGTATGACCCATTATATTTAAGTGAATTTCTCACTTATTATAAAAAAAATTTATTAGAAGCAATATGGATCATGAATTAGTGGATTACTATCGCTAATTTCAACAATAAATAGATAAAGTTAGTATCAAATACGAAATTAAATTGGTATTTTCTATAAAGAAGTTTATGTTCCTTTTCATTTCTTCACTTCTTGATATATTATTGTAGAAATTGTCAAATAATTAGATGAATTTTATTTAAAAAAGATATTCATAAAATATAATTTTTTAAAATATAATACATTTGATTGAGAGATTTTTTTTCTCATCAGGAGAAAAATAAGATTCACATTTTATGTGACTTATGAGTTTACAAGTTAATTTAATCACGAAAGAATTTCAAAAAATACGATTTTAATGTAAAATAATAAAAAAGTAGTACAATTCAAACATGACACGATCAAATTAAATTAATTTTTTTAATTTTAAGTATAAATGATAAAATATGACACAATTCGTTAACACAATACAAACATGACATGAAATTAAACACGAATTATAACACCTATTTTATAAACTAAGTGGACTCGACATAACACTTATTTCAATAAATGAATCGAGTATGAATAAAGTGAATTAAAAGAAATACATGAAATGATTCATTTATTAATTAATTATATGCTATTTTTATACGATATAAACTTGATATAACACAATTTATTTGATATAAATTATTAAGATATAAATAAACTATTTTTCATCCAAGGTCCTGGCCTGGGGACAAAACCGTCACTTTGATTCATACGAAATCCAAAAGTTCAGTTTTTTGGGTCATATTCAGTGTGCAGGAGAGAAAAATAGACTCAGAAGTTCAGAACAAGCTGGCGGTGGTGGTTACACTGAAGCGAAGCATCAAGCAATGGCGACGACAACCGTCGAGACGAGTGCAGGCGAGGCGGCGATGGAGGAGGAGCAGAAGCAGCAAGTGTTGATGCCGCCGGTGAAGAAGACGGCCATGAAAGTCTCGGTGGCCATCGATGAGAGTGATGCGAGTTTCTACGCGCTCAAGTGGACACTCAATCGTCTCTTCCGGCGGTCTGCCGTTGCAACGCCGACACCGGAGCCATCCAACCTGGAGGATTCCGACGTGCTCACCGTAGTTCATGTCATTCAGCCATTGCAGCACTACATCCTCCCGGCTGTACCCCGTTCGTGTTCCTTACTCAGCCCCTGCCTTGCACACAAACACACACAGACAGATACAGTTAAAAATACAAGCAATCCTATTGCTTCTTAATTTGAAAACCTAATCTATAATTTAATTTATTGTAATTATTGGGAGTTCTGATATTGAAAGAAACTCACATTCAATTCAACAATTCTAATTAATTGATCCGTCATATATATGCAAATACAATCATGTACTATAGACTATGAAGAAGTTTAGCAATTATAGTTATAATAACGCTACTGGACTATGTCACGCTCCATCTTCATTACATCTGTAAATTAGTTTTATTTAATTAAGATTAACTGTTATGTAGCTTAGCCCTTATCATATTTTGGCTGATTCTCAAACTTAACCTGCATTCTAAATGAAAAAAAAATTAGCTGGACCTTGATTTTAAATTTGAGAGATAGAGCCCTGGACGAAACTTTAGTAGACTAGGATCAATTGATCAAGATATAATGGTTTAGTAACTGTGGAAAATGGCATAGAATTTGTAGATAAAATGTGCCAGAGCATTGGAAAATTCTCAGTTTTGGTCTAGAGAAACAGCCTGCAATTGGAAGCCAGACAATCACAATTAATTTGGTCTATGGAGAAGGTTTACTGTAAAAAAGATTGTCGTGACTCAACTGAGTCAACTATTGCCAGGACCACTTGTTTCCTTAGGTGTATTTGAACTTGTTTTACTACTGAGAAAATTTTTTTGAACTTGTTTTGTAGTCCGGTACGCAGAATAAATAAAAACTGTCATTTTGGTGATTAGGGTTGGATTGGAACTGTACAGCCGCCCTCTGTATTCTTTCTTTTCAATAGTGAAATCCCTTCAACTTCGTGGACGTAGACAAATTGTCGAATAATGTAAATATTTTTGTGTAATTGATTTTTTTTTGACGCGTGTTTTTATGCAAATTTTCCTGACAACTATGTGAGACCGAACATTAACATGAATGTCAACAATTGTGCTAACGGCGTATTCTCTCATTCTTTGGCAGCGGTGCCAGTGTATGTGGATATGGAAGCTTCAAGGAAGGTTCAGGAAGAGAATGTTGCTTCAATACTCTCTCGTGCATTACGGATGTGCAAAGAAAAAATGGTAATTGGAAAGTAATTAAATGACAAGCTGTATCTTTCTTTTTGACTTCATTATAGTCATCCGGGTGATCGATCATCTTTTGTATGGGTTGAGTTATCTGCAGATCAAAGCAGAAACTTTAATTCTTCAAGGAGACCCAAAGGAAATGATTTGCCAAGCTGTAGAGGATATGAATGCTGATCTTCTTGTTGTTGGTAATCGAGGACGAAGCAAGATCAGAAGGTAAAAACTTCTAAATGTCTGGCTAGAATCAGGGGCGGCCCAAGGTCAAGCGGGCCTTATTAATATTTTGTCTATTGCTATATTTTATTTTTAATTATTATAATTTTTTTATGTTTTAAAAAATTATTTTTTATTTTTTTAAAAATTTGAAATATTGATCAAGTTTTTATACTCAAGTTTTGACAATAATTTTTTTAATAGATAATATTGTTAATTCATTCGCTCTTAGTTGATTGTAAATAAAATTGTATCAATTTAAGTTTGTAACAAGTAATTTAATAATAGAATATGTGAACAAAAAATAACTTTAAGATAACAAAGAATAATTCTTTACCCACGAGTAATGTGCACGCGTGAAGTACAAAACTTTAATAACATAGACAATTTAAGTATAAATTATTTGGACTGAAAATTTATATTAAAACAAAAAAGGGACCAATTTTATAGATTTTCACCACAAGAAATAATGAATATAAATTTTCTATGTGAGCGAATGAAATAAAACTATGAACACACCCAAAATATTTAGAAAAATTTAAATCAAAGTTCACACGAATGAGTAATTTTGTACCAAAAAAAATTAGATATTGATTTGAAATATTAAAATTTGAGCACTAAAAATTTGAATCATATCTAAATATAAAAAATAAAAATAAAAAAGGACTATTATAATAAAGTGGTAAAATTTATAGAGGCCTCTCAAATTTGGGTTTAATCAAGTAGAGAGTAATTTTAGACCTAATAAAATTAGATATTAATTTGAGCTAATAAAATTTGGGCCCTAAAAATTTTAATCATATTTAAAATATAAAACAAAACATAAAAAATTAGGCCTATTATACTAAAGAGATAAATATTGTGGGAGCTCTCTAAAATTTGGAGCCTTAGAACATCTTCAACCACACTCAATAAAATAGTTACTTAAAATATATTTAAATGTTGTTTTCTCTACTTTAGCTATCCATTTTTTAAAATTTACTTCAACCACGCTCTCTATTTTAGCTAACTACTTCAATTAACTTTAACTAACTTTCAATAATAAAATTTAAAAAATAGCAATTCAATTATACATTATATAAATTTAATCAATTATGGGCTACAAGAGTAAATATCATAAAATACTTGGGGGTTTTACTGAATTTTGGATTTTATTTGAGGATTTTGTTGAATTTTTGAATGAATTTTACTGGATTTTTTTTGGGGGCGGGGTTTGCTGGATTTTTAACAACTCGTCGTCTTCCCCCATTCTGATCAACAATACAAAATCACAAATTAATCCAATCAGGCAAGACCCATCAAATAAATCACGAAACCCAACAAATCAAAAATCTCAGTTCTTAATAGGAGTCTATTGAACTGAGAAGATCCATATCTTTTTGAGAAATCAGGCTGTTCATAGAGGAATCTGGAGGTTTGGATGTTGCATGAGGGATTTTAGGGGAATCTGGAGGTAGAGATGAGGAGGAGAAGAGTAAAGTTAGAGACAGGAAGAAAAGGAGGAGAAAGAGTGAGGTTGAGAAAAAGGGACGCTCCACCGCGAAAAGATTTTGAGTGTGCAGGGAGACTTTGAGGGAGACGAGTGAGACTTTGATGAAGACAAGAATTCTAAAATTGGCGCAAAACTCTGATGAAGAACGACCCAAAATTGGGGGGAGAGAGCTCTGAGAAAAGAGAGTCTTGCTAGTCAGAATTGATGAATGAGAATGGGGGGAGGCAGGTTAGCGAGTGAAATAGAGAGTCGGTTGGAGTCAATTTTTTTGGATTGACTCAACAAAATAGCTAAAAGATGCCCTTTGTTGAGCCGATTGGAGTTGCTCTTAGACAAGTAACTTAGTTGCCTAGGAGTTGGACCTGTCCTGGCTAGAATTTGATGGATATCTAAGGCTAAATTCTGGTAGTTGGACATGATAATTTAAACGCACTACTTGTGGTATTGATACAAACTTGTTCAAATGAAGACATACAAATAGGTTAGTCAATCGTGTCGGACAAAGTGGGTTTGTGTCAAAATACAATCCACTCATACCTGATTCTTTTATTAATTCGTGTCTAACGAGTCGTGTTATCGAATTCGTGTCGTGTATTTCTTTTGATTGATTTTACCTATTCCAATTTCGTTTATTAATTTTGTCGTGTCGAGTCTACTCGTTTACGAGACAAGTGACTTAAAAAATGATCAAATCCTTTAATTTCGTGTCGTGTTATATTTTGTCACCTCTACATACAAACATGCACTAAACCATAGAAATAATCTGTGGTTTTTTTTATATCAAACTTTTCTATTATGTCTAAAGTAGTATAATTTGGACCAAATCACTTGAACATAACATGACTGTTTGGACACTATTATCAAATTTACTTGCCCATTCAGGAGTTTTCTCCACACTAAAATTGGCCTGAAACACCTTTGGCAAATTCAAAATGTCTAGTCGTCGTTCCAATGGAACAAAATGTTTAAAGATGAGTATTTTAACCCTAAGGGATGAGTTGCGCCTTTAGAAGTCTTGAGTTTAAATCTGAGCAACTCGTTGGGGCCAGACCATGCATCTCTTAATCCTAGCGTGAATGACTTGTCTGAATTTAGGAGGGAATTAGTTGAGGTGCGCAGAAGGTGACTTGAATATCTTGACTGTTAAAAAAAAAAGGATGAAAATTTCGAGGAGGGGCAAAATCAAATTTCAAATTTCAAAAGTAGGGGTTCCCTCCATTACCAAAGATTGCTGGAATAATCCACAAACTTCTGGGTATGAGTGTTATAAAAAAAGAAGAGAAAAAGCAGAAAAACTTGAGCAGGAGCCTAGGGTTAACAAAAGTAATTTGTCTTCCTGATTGTAGAGTTTCTTGTGTTTTTTCATTGCAGGGCCTTGTTGGGTAGTGTAAGTGATTACTGTGCTCACCATGCAAACTGTCCAGTCCTCATTATGAAGCCACCGAAGGAGTCGTCCCAGAAGTGATGGTCTCCATGTGTTTGTAACATTGACTGTGAGGAGACTCAAGAACATCTCTTGTATTCTGTGTGATGTAATCCTTGTAAACAAGAGGCAACTCTAGTTCCATGTAATGAGGGAGTTTGAATCCTCAAGCTTTTGTGTCTGTTAGTAAAATTAAATAATTTTCAGAATAATGTTATTTAAATTTAATTTATTATAGCCCTTATATTGACAGTAAATTTCATTCAATATTAAAATTTATTGTTAATTTAAAGATTAGAATGTCAAAATTTTAGTTATGAATAATATAACTTTTATTTCACTCACTAATTTTTTTTTTTTTAAAATAACGTGGCATACCCATATACTACTTAAAAATATTCTTACGTTTCTTTTATTTATATTTTTGGGTTGCGGAAACAACTTTATCCCAATGTTGTATGACTTATGTTAACATCAAAACCTATTAAAATCAAAATTTTAAATTATATTATTTTTTAGGTGATGATGAAGACATTATATTTTTATAAATATTTCAGATTTTTTTTTTGAAATATTTTAAAATATTTGTATATATTTCATTTAATATTTAACAATATTTTAGAAATTAATTTTTAACTTAGGCATTTCTTTCCACTCCACCTAGATAGAAGTAAATATACCAGAGTTATTTTTAATGTTATAACCTCCATGTGATAAAAAAAAGTAAAAAATCTCGAGAAGAAAATAATTTTATTCAATCATTATAAATTGCCAACATAAAAAAAATGGAAAAATCAAGAATCTCATCCCACGAGCAATTGGTTGATAAAATGATTTATTTTAATCTCTAATAAAAGTCGAAAAAATTGATTCATTTGTCTATTTATATTTTTTAAGCGATCAAAATAATATATTAAAATTAAATTTTAATTATTAAGTTATGTATATCTAATTTTATTTATATTTCTGCAAGAGTTATTTTTATTTTTTTTAAATCGATTCTAACTAGAATATGTAAAATTGTGATTTATTATATAAATAAAATTGAATTTGAGTCTCAAAAAAAAATTACTGCTAAAATGTCCAATCCGTAGGTGTAAAAAAACCTGGTACTGACTGATCTTTTCGGTCAGAACTCAGAAACAACAAAGGGGTTGTTGTCAGTCACGATAAAAGTGGTTTGGCAGCAAACACAGATCTCGCCAAAACTCACCAGACGCAGAGGTCTGAAAATCAAATCTGCACCGGACTACCCTTCCCATACCCCCTCACAAAACGCCGCCACCACCACCACCACCACCGCTCCCATGCCTAAATGAGCTCAGATTGATTTATTTGCCGAGTCCTTCGAACAAAAAAACAGAGAAAATGGCAGCAAATGACAACTCAAAACCTGAAATACCAGTGATTTCACTGGATAGCAGTGGAGATGAAGCTGTGAAAAATGATTCGAACGAAGTATCGGAGAGAGAAATTAGAGAAGAAGAAGAAGACCAGAACGAGGACGAGGACGAGGACGAGGTGTTCAACAGCGTTAAATCAAATGGTGGTTGTTGGGTTATAGAGGAACCAGAGAAAATGGAAACAAATGAGAACTCAAAACCTGAAATACCGGTCATTTCACTGGATAGCTGTGACGATGAAGCTATGAAAAATGTTCGGCATGAAGGATCTGAGAGAGAGAGCAGAGAAGCAGAAGAAGAAGAACAGAACGAGGGCAAGGTGTTCAACACCGGTATATCGAATGGTGGTGGTGGGGTTAAAGAGGAGTATGTATATAGGACCAAAGCCGAAGAGCGTAAAATTCTGGCGGATTTGAGCAGCTTCCCACAGCTCGCTACGATGTTGGCTTTCGATGCAAGAATGAGGAAGAAGAGCAGGAGAGGAAACAGAAACAAGAGGAGGAAGAAGCAGCAAAAGATTGAATCCGTAGGTTCAAATGCAATGGTATGTTCTGAAACAAATTTCAGGCGTTTTCTTTTTTTACAGAATATGAATTCCAGATTGTAAGATTGAATCTCTCATTTATTTGAGGGAATGTGAATTTCTCTTTTTTTGCTTAGAGATCTACTTCTCAACATTATTAGCTTCAGAGGACAAAAAGTTTTTGTTTAAGAAAGTACATTAACTTGCCAATGGAGGTAAAAAAACATAAAAAGTTTGCTTAATTTGTTTAGATAGCATATAAAAACATCTTTTGCTTATAGCTGGCTTCTGTAATTAACATCTCAGGAAGGATCCAATCGTACATAGAGATTGAAACCTGTGTGGGGGTAGGGCGGATGTAGCAAAGTGGATCAACGTAGTGGATTGTGAATCCACCACGCGTGGGATTGAATCCCCATGATTCGCTCAATAAATGGACCATTTGTTACGGAGACACAAGACGACAAACCTAGAAAGAATTCTTTCTGTAGAACATTGCCTTGGTATAAGTGAAAGAAACTGGGGGCATGTTTGTTTCGAGTATAAAATTTAGGTGGTATAAGGTTTTATATCCATTCTACTCTGATTCAATAGTATATTATACCCAGTCTTAAATTATAATCTCATAATTCTCCTTATTTGTTTATCACAAATATTATTTGTATAATACCTACTTAAAAAAGTCAATAATTGCGGCTAACAAACGTAAAAAATAATTTTAACTTTTAAAAAGTCAAAAATTGCGGCTGAATTTTTATATTGGAATTGTACCTGAGGGCATTTTACTATTTTTAGTTTATAATACCTATACCAAGAATATAATACCACCCCGTAGGTGGTATTCATTAAGACCCTCTAGAAGGCATCATGACTACTGTTCATAGCGGGTCGGAATTACGATTCGAAAAATAGTACTGACTATAAAATGTCAAACAAACAACGTAAAAGATGGGTCTCACGTACTATTTTTCTAATACCACCTCCTTATACCACTCTAATACTCAAAACAAACGGCCCCTGGGAGGATAACAGAGGTGTTGGAAACAAATCCAGCTATGGTGTCTGAGAATGATGGGTCCCAGAGGCCCCCAGTGAGTTTTAAAGATAATTTTTGCTCTCTCTCTCTCTCCCTATATATATGTATGTGGATTATAGAAATGCACAGATTGAGGTGTAAGTAAGGTCATAAGTTTGCTGAATTGCTTATCTAAAAGGTGTTAATATTGGATGAGATCGACTGCGCTAGTTCAAGGACATCAATGGATTAATTCAAAGACTTTGGTCGGATGATTAGGTCCAAGTAGCATATTGATAAAGAATTTAAACTAATCTTGTCCTCTTTGTTTATGATTAAGGCTTCTGCTAATAGGCACATTAGGGATGCTGGCTTAGGCACAACAAAACAAATAGCTGATTAAGCATCTTATGAGAGAGTCAGAATCTAGAAGATTCTTCTAAGAAACACTTCCTATAACTAGTGTGATTCCCATGCTAAGCAATGGTTGCAATGTTTGTGCCATGTTCTTTCCGTGTCAGTCTCCTACTTGAAGATTTTTCATGTTGAGTTTTGTGTCGTGTCTGTCACCCTTGTACATGCCTGTGCTTATGGAAGCAGGATTAAATTTTAAGGTCAAGCTTATTTGCCGGTCCAGGCTACACTTTGTATTTTTGTTCTAAAGATCCTAAGGAGGCACTCTTTTTAGAATGTAAGAAGGTATTTCTTCTTTTTATGTTTCTCCATATAACGGAGTTTTTGAAGCAATTCCTAATGGTGATGCATGCGACACAATTAAGGAAGTATGTGGTTCATATTCCTCAAAAACAATTGTGAGTGGTATGAAGATCTTCACCTGATCCCTGAGAACTTTTATGGGTTGTGTTGGAAAATACAAGGTGGGGGCATTTATGCATGATTGAGTTTCACTGGGCTATCATTAGCATGTCTCATTTTTATCTCTTAGATTAGGGATTGATAATTGAAACTTGAGACTAAGTGGATGAAGAAATTAGATACTTAGCTTTGATTATATATAATTTTCTTAGTCAGTGTTTTCTATATTTGTCCTCACAAGTGTCGTTTATAAGGTCCCACTTTCGACTCTTGTATGCTATATTTTATTAGTTTCCCAGCCCATTTTTTGAGTTTTATGTCTTGGCACTAGAACACTACACCTCATTTGTTTTAAGCAAAAATGGACGAGAAGTAAATTTCCTTTGAGTTTCTTATACTGATGTCTTTTAACAATTCTGTTGCTCTAGACTAATACTATGGAGGAAGAGAAACAGATGGATTCAAATACATATACAAAAACAAAGACATCGCTGGAAACACAACTGGTTAAGAAAAAGGGCGATATGGTGCTACTGAAGCTTCTTGTGAGTTAACCCACAAATACAAGGACTTTGTTTGACTTAAATGCTTATTTTGCCCCCATTAAATACATGCTATATTGATGTTGTAACGGGAGCCAAGATATTTTGATTCCCCAGAAAGCAGTTGGGGGATGTGATACAATTGTGGTGAAGATGATCACACAGCAGCATACTGTTCTATGAGAAAACAAAAGAAACCATGCTATATACGTTATTTGCGAAATTATTTTGTTTGACCCTCACTTTTGCATTGCGTCATCAAAACTCAAGCTAATGTCCTTTCTGCATGATTCTTCTTCGTGCAAATCTCTTACATCTTTGTTGTGAATGCATTTTGTCTTTCTTTTTATATATCGTGGTATTACAATTTGGAGAAAATCTTAATGAGAATTTTGATATATATCAAATCATAATCTTGGTTTACCACTCAATCTTGGTTTACCACTCAAGAATTCACTTACATTTCTTGACTTCTGGTATAAGTCAAGTGGTTCATAATATCTCTTCAGGACTCACACCTTTTAGGATGAATCAGCTTTAAGCCATTAAATTCTGATGAATTTAGATTTTCTATAGCTCAAACTTTGGCTTCAGAATTGAAAACTGGAAAATTCATATGATGAAATTAGAAGGTAATCACAATTTGATCTATCCATGTGAATTGATTGGCTTTATAGGTTCTTATGCTGAAGAGGTTGGGAACGTCAAAATTCTTCTTGAAATTGAAAGCGCCACTTGAGTGTTACAAAGAGCAATGGAAAAACAAAGCATGTACCCTATTGGGTAAAATTGACAAAGAATAACATTGCACATGTTCTCTCCTTTAAGTTTCAAAGAATTTAGGAATGAAGAAAATATATTACTTTCTGCAGTTTTCCATGTGGGATTTCATTCACATTTCCTCTTGTTCTTCCTTATTCTTTTTTTTTTTGGGTGTTTGGGGTCTTATAGCGGCGGTATGAACTACATATCTGCAATGGAAAAGGTTGGCTCACTAAAAATGTAACAGAGAATCAAAGTTTAGTTATCTGTTTAAGATGTGGCGATTCTGGACACGATATGTTCTCATGCAGTAATGAGTACAGTTCTGATGTGAAAAATGATCAGAACGAAGGATCGGAGAGAGAAATTAGAGAAGAAGAAGAACAGAACGAGGACAAAGTGTTGAACAACATTATATCAAATGGTGGTTGTTGGGTTACAGAGGAACCAGAGAAAATGGCAGCAAATGAGAACTCAAAACCAGAAATACGAGTGATTTCACTGGATAGCAGTGGCGATGAAGCAACGAAAAATGATCGGAATGAACGATCAGAGAGAAAGAGCAGAGAAGCAGAAGAAGATCAGAACGAGGGCAAGGTGTTCAACACTGTTATATCGAATGGTGGTGGGGTTAAAGAGGAGTATGTATATAGGACTAAATCCGAAGAGCGGAAAATATTGGCGGATTTGAGCAGCTTCCCACAGCTCACTACAATGTTGGCTTTCGAGGCAAGAATGAGGAAGAAGAGCAGGAGAGGAAACAGAAACAAGAGGAGGAAGAAGCAGCAAATGACTGAATCTGTAGGTCCTAATACAATGGTCTGTTCTGATACTAATTTCAGGCATTTTTTTACAGAACTGTGAATTCCAGGTTGTTAGATTGAATCTCTCATTTATTTGTGGGAATGTGAATTTCTCTTTTTTGCTTAGAGATCTACATGCCACATGAGCCCCCCCCCCCTCTCTCAAAACACACAACATTGTTAGTTGCAGAAGGCAAAAAGTTTTTGTTTAAGAAAATATAATCATTTGCTACAGGAGGAAAAAGAAACAAAAAAAGGTTGCTTTATTTGTTTGAAATAACATATAAAATCATTTTCTTTGAAATCATCTTTTGTTTACAGCGGGCTTCTGTAATCAACATCTAGAACTTTGTCTTGGTATAGGTGGATGAAACTGGGAGGATAAGAGAAGTTTTGGAAACAAAACCAGCTATGGTGTCTGAGAATGATGGGGCCCCGAGGCCCCCAGTAAGTTTTTAAGATAATTTGTGCTCTCTCTATATATATATGATTATGGAAGTGCACTGATTGAGGTGTAAGTAAGGTCATAACTTTGCTGAATTGCTTATCTAAAAGGTGTTAATATTGGATGAGATCAACTGTTAGTTCTAGGACATCAATGGATTAATCCAAAGACTTATGTCAGATGATGTGGTCCAAGTAGCATATTGGTAAAGAATTCTAACTAATCTTGTCCTCTTTCTTTATGATTCAGGCTTCTGCTAACAGGTACGTTAGGGGTGCTTGCTTAGGCACAACAAATAGCTGATTAAGCATCTTATGAGATAATCAGAATCTAGAAGATTCTTCTAAGAAACACTTCCTATAACCAGTGTGATTCCCATGCTAAGCAATGGTTGCAATGTTTGTGCCATGTTCTTTTTGTGTCTGTCTCCTACTTGATGATTTTTCTTGTTGGGTTTTGTGTCATGTCTGTCCCCGTTGTCCATGTCCATGCTTATGAAAGAAGGATTAAATTTTAAGCTCAAGCTTTATTTGCCCGTCCAGGCTACACTTTGTAGTTTTGTTCTAAAGATCCTAAGGGGGCACTCTTTTTAGACTGTAAGAAGGTATTTCTTCTTTTTAAGTTTCTCCATATAATGGAGTTTTGGAAGCAATTCCAAATGGTGATGCATGTGACACAGTTTGTGGTCCATATTCCTCAAAAAAAATTGTGAGTTGTATGAAGATCTTCACCAGATCCTTGAGGACTCTGATGGGTTGTGTTGGAAAATACAAGGTGGGGCCATTTTATATGCATGATTGAGTTTCACTGGACCATCATTAGTGTGTCTCATTCGTATCTCTTAGATTAGGGATTGATAAGTGAAACTTGGGACTGAGTGGATGAAGAAATCAGATACTTAGCTTCGATTATATATTACTTTTCTTAGAATGTTTTCTATATTTACCCTTACTAGTGTCGTTTATAAGTTCTTGCTTTTGCCTCTTGTATGCAATATTTTATTGGTTTTCTTGGTTCATATATTGAATATTATGTTGTGGCACTAGAACTCTGCAGGACTGCACCTTATTTGTTTTTGAATTAAATTTCCTTTCAGTTTCTTAAACTGACGCCTTTTAACAATTCTGTTGCTCTAGACTCATACTGTGGAGGAAGAGAAACAGATGGATTCAAATACAGATGCAAAAACAAAAACATCGTTGGAAATGCCACTGGTTAAGAGAAAGAACAATATGGTGCTACGGAAGCTTTTCGTGAGTTAACCTAAAAGTTCAAGGACTTGTTTGATGAAAATGCTTATTTTGCCCCCATTAAATACATGTTATATTGATGTTGTAGCGGGGTCCAAGATATTTTGATTCCCCACAAAGCAGTTGGGGGATGTGCTACAATTGTGGTGAAGATGATCACACAGAAGCAAACTGTACTATGAGAAAACGGAAGAAACCATGCTATATATGTGGTGGTTTTACGCACAATGCAAAGCGCTGCAAACAGGTTTAAAATATATTCTTTGCGAAATTATTTTGTTTCTCTCACATTTTCATCGCGTCATCAAAACTCAAGCGTTTGTCCTTTCTGCATGATTCTTCTTCGTGTGAATCTCTTAAATCATTGTTGTGAATGCATTTTCTCTTTCTTATTATATATATAATGATATTACAATTTGGAGAGAGAATCCTATTGGGAATTTTGAATTCTCATACATTTCTTTACTTTTGGTGTAAGTTAAGTGGTCCATAATATCTCTCCAGGACACACTTGTTAGGATGAATCTTTTGAGCTTATAAGCCATTAAACTCTGATGAAGTTAGATTTTCTATAGCTCAAACTTTGGCTTTCGAGTTGAAAATTGGAAAATATTGTTGATATATAAATACTTAAGCTTTTTGAGTAGATGATTATTTAATATAGTATCAGAGCTGGAGATCTTGTGTTCGAATCTTACCATTACCTTAATTATTAAATAAGATTTTCACTTGCAAGGCTCAAAATTTAGCCTAAACATGAAGGGGCCTGTTGAAATATAATTACTTTAAGTTACACCCTCTCCAATAACATAAGTTTTTGAAGTAGATGCTTGTTTAACAAATATATCTATATGATGAAATTAGAAGGTACTCACAATTTGATCCATCCATGCTAATTGATTGGCTTTATAGGTTCTCATTCTTAAGATGTTGGGAACATCAAAAGTCATCTTGAAATTAAAAGTGTCGCTCTGAGAGTTACAAAGAGCAATGGAAAAACAAAGCATGTACGCTATTGGGTAAGGGGAATGTTTTAAGTGTGTCATAATATTGACAAACATTAACATTGCACATGTTCTCTCCTTAAAGGTTGAAAGAAATCATGGATAAAGAAGATTTATTACTTCTGCCATTTTCCATTTAGGATTTCATTCCCATTTCCTCTTTTTTTTTTTTCCCTATTGCTTGGGGTCTTGCAGCGGTATGGACTGTATATCTACAATCGAAAAGGTTGCCTCACCAAAGTTTGTCCAGAGAAAGATGCAGCAGAGGATCAAAGTTTAGATATCTGTTTAAGATGTGGCGATTCAGGACACAATATGTTCTCATGCAGCAATGAGTACAGTTCTGATGATCTCCGAGTATTAAACTTTGCATATTCTTTTCTTTTTCGCTGGAGTGCCTTTCCATGCCACCAATGGCAAATGGTCTAGTCCCCATTATAGCAGAATCAATTTGGGTTCCTCTTTTGTGACTATTGTGTGTTTCCATCTTGACAGCAAATTCAGTGCTATGTTTGCAAGGATTTTGGCCATCTCTGTTGTGCTGAATATATACATAAGAGTCCAGGACAAGTTTCCTGTTATACCTGTGGGCAGTCTGGCCATTTGGGTTCTGTAAGTCGTACTTAACTAGCTATTCACCATGGTAGAATTAAGTTTTTTCAAATCATAATTAGTGTGCCATATGATTGTTCTCGTTTAATTTCTGCCTGTGCAGAAATGCGAAACTGTTTTGAGGTTGTAGTGACTCTCAACCATCCTGGGGAAGATCATTTGCAAGGAGAATGCAATACACCAAAGTTCATTTCGAATGATATCAACAGCCTCTTCAAAGATACTTGAGTTTGATTATGGCATCTCTCTCTACCAGTGCACGTGCCTAAGAGCTTTGGGAGTTTATCAGATGCAGAGTTTGAACCTTGCATTACCCTTTCTCAGCCTCAGAAAGTTCCAGAGTTGCTAAATTACTATTTACTCCACCGGCAGCAAAAATTCTACCAAAAAGGAGTCTGGTCTTCATCCCACAATAGATGAATCAGAAGACCCGCTTAAACAGCCCACCCACACTCCCCTCTGCATGTGGTGTGGGCATTCAACTGCTGTTGTGAGCTCTGTAAATAGCTGATCTCTTGCATGGTACTTTACGCAGGTTGTGTATTAGGATCAATCCCAAACGAGCTTAGTTTGTCACTACAGCAAAAGACTGAATCGCACACCCTTACTATGTTACAACTTTCAATACAGTAGGAAGAAATAGTTATTTGGTACTGAAATCTTTTCCCCATACAAGATCCTTCCAGGTTTATGTGTGTAATTTCATCAGGTCTATCCTTCATGTCCCCTGCCAAGCTATTCTTCCAGTCCCCAACAACACCAAGCCCAAAATTAGAGCTCTTTGGGATCCCAGCCCAAGGTTCCAACCCATTTCTATTCACCTTGTAAGCTGCACCTCCATAGTACCTTGTCAACCTCTTTGTCCTTACCAAATGGCCTTTCAAGTAGGGTAATAAATGAGCCGAACTATTTAGGATCGGCACAGATAGGACTCAATTCAAATTTGACTCTTGTTTTAATTGAATCAAATTTAAACAATTTTTTAGATTCGTTTAGAAAATGAATTTATAAGACTTGGTTTGAGCTCGCAAAATTTAACTCGTTTATATGTAAAATAGTTAAGTTTTGGCTCATTTTGGGCTCGACTTGACTCATTTTTTAAATGAGTCGAATTTGAATAATTTTTTAAACTTATTTAAAAAAACAAGTTTGGCTCGAACTTGCTTGGTTGAATTAACAACCCTACTTTCAAGCAATGAAGCCAATTTCCGCACTTGCCCTCTTGGGTCTCTTCATTTCTTCAAATTTCAGAAACATCATCTTTTCGGCCCTTTTTAAACTCTCTCTTTGCAGTAGCTCTCAAAAACTTCATCCATGGGGAATGGCCCTTCTTCAGCTGTTCTCTTCGTGTTAAAGAAGTGCCACAGGGAGACAAAAGTGTCCTTAGGGTTTCTAGTAATATACACAATCTTTCAACTTGTAGTCTTGATGGAGTCTGGTAGAATTATGTAGGGCACCTGGGTTCGAAAAAGCCAAGGAGATAGCATATCTGTGAGACTGTAAGTAAAGTTTTCTCCATAGATTTGAATCTCTATCGATTGGATCAGCACATTGGGATGGTTTTTGGTTGAAGGATCATCATCATCATTGCGGCCTTCGCTACGTGCATTAGTTTTCATGATGCATGGAATGAGGGCCTTGAGCCAGGTGGTGCCTGTTTTCATGAAGGACGCTAGGATGAAGAATCCAAATTTTGTTTTGATGCACAATTTTGGTGAGTTTAGAAACAAAAATATTTCGGCAATGTTTTGAAAATATTTTGTTTAGAAACAAAAATATTTCGGCAATGTTCCGAAAATATTTTGAAAATAAGATGGAAATAAATAAAAATTTTAAAAATTTATTTTCAAAACATTAGTTGAAACATATTGAAACATTTCTAAACACAGGTTGAAATATGTCAAAACACTATGAAACCTATTGAAACACATCAAAACACAGATATTTAATCTATAATTCGTTTCGGTCTTCACGACAAAATGAAATTTAATTCTTTGACCAAGGTGACATCATCATCACAAACCATGAAGCTCAATGACAATATATTATGGGAATGAATCCATAATATATGTTGCACTAAAGTTTTTTATACCTATTGATAAATGAGAAAGTTGACATTAAAGGATTAATCAAGGATACATTTAAAAAATAAAAGATTTTCACTTTTATTGATATTTCATAATAGTATATATAGATATTTTCATCCTAAACTAAAAACACGTTTAATTGTTATTTTTATAAAGTAACAAATTTTAATATTTAAATGATACATTAATATACATGCATCACACTTAGAGTCAACGTTAGGTAAAGAATAAATTATACAAATAACCCTTGTGTCAATTAAACTCTTAATTTTTTTTAATTAATTAAACTCTCTAATTAAATCAATTTAACCATTTTATATGCCTTTGTTAAAAAATTTAACAAAAAGTGGCAAAATAAACCCTTCAAGTGACACAAATGGTTTGCATTTTACTCTTGGATCAATTAACCCCTTAATTTTTAATTTTTTTATTTTTAATGAAGTCCTTGAACTTTCTAATTATGTCGATTGAATCTTTTAATCTTTTTATGCCATATAATCAAGTGAATAACACATTCTAACATAGACAAACATAAAGACTCAATTGATACAATTAGAGAGTTCAAAATTTAAAGGGCTCATCTTTTTGTACCATATAATCACATAAATAACACATTCTAACAGAGTCAAACAAAAACGCTCAATCGACATAATTAGAGAGTTCAGGAATTCAATTAACACAATTAAAGAATTCAAGAATACAATTGACACAAATAATAGTTGAGAAACTTAATTAACACAGATTATAGTTTGAGGATTATATATGTAATTTACTTTTAGATAAAAAAAAGCAGGCTCCCAAAAGGGCAAAAAAAATAAAATCACATGCTACTTAAATAATTAAAAGAATGAAAAAGAAAAACACTTCAAAAAAATGTTATCACTAACAGGGAAATATTAGCTAAGGCAATTTGTCAACGCTAAGGGGTAAATTTTTCCTTTAAGTTGATTTCGTGTTCCTTCGTATATTCAAACATGTTATATAAACCATTCACATGTTATATTCCACAGAAATAATGAAAAACTTGTTAGAATGGCTCTCAGAAATGTACACTTCCTACAAGTAGGGAAGAGCTGCACACTGCACCCAGAGACTTGATAGTAACACTGGAACAGATACAAAAAGCCGCAAGAAAACCCAGTCATGGGAAGTCTTCAGAAAGTCCACAGTGAGCAGTCTTTACTATTTATGCCTGTTTTTGTTCAAAAAAAATCGCGCGTCAGTCAGAACAAATAACTGCAAGTACCATAAAACAGTTTCTCACAAATGCACACACCTCTTGGCTCATAAGAATTTCCACTGCTACATTCAAATCCCCATCAGCGGCCGACACAGCAATTTCCACCTGTGTCTGAAACAAATCCAAAAGTAGTAGCTCTCAGAATCCCCTTTTAGCTAACTTGGATATATACACATCACTTTAACAATCAGTAAAAAAAAAAATTGCATCAAAACTAGTAAACAAAAGTAAGACAGATCATGATTTTACCCTTTCAAAACCCATTGCAACGAGTTTTTGGATCTCTTCATCAGATGCAATGGAGCCCTGCATTCAGCAGACAACTAAACAAGTGTCCATATAACAAGAATGGCGAAAATGGCAAGGGTCACACTCTTGAAATGAAGAAATGGACCTGATTGCCTTGCACTACAATGGCTGGAGCTGGACTATCTACCACTGCCTGCCTGAAAAAACCAAGACCATGAATGGAGAAAACCTTTCAATTAGAAGAGTAATGACAGGTGAGTGACACGTAAACTAGAAACTAAACTTGACAAAGCCAGCCACCAAGTCACCAAACCACTATGAAGTAAGACCATAGAAAAAAATATTGGTGAACATTTGAAGTATATAGTTCAGTTTATTCATATGACAAGTAAAATCATAAAGTGTAGCTGTGATTGTGAGGGCTTTTCCAGTCTCCCCATTCTATAATTGTAGCTGAACATATACCTACTGTTCATGTTTATTACACAGATCAATGCTGACCTACCAAGATACATGGCACAATGAAAAGCAATAAAATGTCTAAGTAACAAACTAGAAGTGGAACTCTGCCTCACCACATTGACATTCAAATCAGAGAAAATGTTTGTCAATGTTATATAATTCATTTCAGTTAATTTGGTAAATTAGAACCACAAACAAGGGCAGAATTTGAAGTGCGTAACCCTTCTGTTTTGTAAACAAAATTGGACCTGTCATAAGTGCCAAGAAAAGAACTCAATTTTATTATTTAAACTGTATTACATTTGTTGTTTTCTTCAGTCTTACAAAACTATGATAGGGAACTTCACCTGTAATATTGTATCTCAGATTCCCTTGGGATACCCAATATACTTAACACATTTTTTGAAGTAACATCTTCAAATAACACATGAGAATCATCCAACTTCTGGGAATCAAAATATTTCTATTGCTTTATTCCATGATTTGGTAAAATTTCTCAAGCAGCATCACAAGAAATCAAAAATTAAAACCCAAACAAAAGCTGGCATTCATAACAAATCTAATTCATTTAGGACAAATTACACAACTATCCTGGAGGTTTGCACTTATTACACTCCATCCCCATTGGTCTATGAAACGACACAAAATCCCTTGAAGTTCCTTAGAATCAACCTCCCTCTCTGAGTTGATTATTAGATAAAAAACTATGAAGTGCAAAAAAAAAATTCTCCCCAAAAAATCCAAGAAAATTCCTCTCCCTCCCTCTCTCTCTCACTCAAACCAAACGCCCAAATTAACAAACAAAGAAGAAAAAAACATACTTTCCACAAGTAAATCCCCCTGAACCTGCCACTGCCAGCATTACCATCACAACCATCCAAATCCTAGTTGCTCCACAAATTAAATGCGTGTGTGAGAAGGAGAGGGAGAGGGAGAGGAGACTGGTTGGTGGTCTGAAAGAGGATCTAGAGCATCAACACTAGAAACCCCCATGTCCGCACACTAAGTGAAAAAAAAGGCATATGCATGTTCCACACACAAATACATATGCATATATATAAATCCAGGTTCAACTTGTGTTATACATATGGTGGGTGCAACAGGAGTGTTGTGTAACATGTTGGGGGGTACGGTGATGGGTGCTGGGTGGGGGGAAGGGGAGAGAAGAGGAGTGGGGCTGAGAGTAGGGCAAGGGCGAAAAGGAGGGGGAAGGGTTGAGGAGCATCAGCGGGGAGAAAGGGTGGTTTAGTGGGCTGAGCGTTTGGGAGAGGGGTTTTAACATGTGTGGGTTTGAGGTGGTATAATGGGCTGGTATTTATGAATTTGACCCAAGGTAAAATGGTCATTATTCGATTTCCATCAACTCTGTCACTTGATTGCTACCACAAGCGCAAGGTACAGTAAGTGCAAACCTTAAGGATAATTTGCCCTTTTATTTACATATATGTCAACAATTAAGTTGAGCTAAAAGAACTCATTTGACTAACATGCACCATTGACTCTTCCTAATACCTTCCATTTGATATATGCTGTCCTCCCCCAGCTGGTGCCGGATTGGATTGATGGTTGGGGCTGACACTATTATCCAAAAGTCGAGCCTGTAGACTTGAATCAGAATTTACGCCGGGAACAGTTTGACTTCGAGCAGAACCAAGTGTCCTTCCTGCCCCGGGAAACCTGTTACTGTCTTGTCCTGACTGCATATAAAATCAAAAACCAGTCACTTAATAATAAATCAAGAAGTGGCAAACTAATAAATTCCACTAAATTTTTGGAGCTTCAAGATTCATGCTCAGTTGCTCACAGATTATCATAGCTCACAAAGAAATTCAAATCAGATATATCAAAAGTATGTAGAACAGCTACCGAGATTTCATCTTCTACGAGAGAAAATGCCAAAAAAGGCTGGGAAGACTTCCAACTGACAATAGTGCTAAATTAAGATTGGATGCCCCCCCCCACAGTACCTGAACGGATGTTTCCCTTTGCGGCACCCAGGAAGAAAGATTCCTCCATATATTTCCAGAAAGCAATCCACTGTTTAGTAGAAGAGTACTGCATTAGGGCCTATCTCAAGGAACAAAGAAAATTCAAATAAGCAAAATCTACCTGGATGTTGTATTTTGACTTGAATATGTAGGGATGTAGCCCGAAGGGTTTCCACCAGAACACATAATAAATTTTGGTCTCCTTACACAACTGGACTGCAAAGAAAAAAAAAGTTTCAAAGCTAAATTACTAAGACACCTTGAAAAAGACAAAAAAAAAAACACAAAAAACTTTAGGTGACTTAATCATTAAGGGAAACAGAAGTATAATATCGATGAGTAAGCAAATAAACTGAAAGAGCATAGCCAATGTAATCTGAGGTTGAAAACACTGCATCATTAGCAATCAAAAGGTGAATTGATTGCATGCTGAGGTTGTCAAAAATACTCCAAGTGCTCACCTAGGCACTCAAGTTAGGTAAAAAACTGCAAGAGTTACAGAATCACTCAACCCTTAGCGAATTGAAATTGAATCCAGAACTATGTTGTACCTTACGACACAGAAATGATAAAAAATCTTTTCCCAAGGTATCAATATCTGCTACAAAAAATTGAAGAATTATTGAGTATCCCTTCTTCTCATTGATCTCCAAAGTCCAAAAGATTTCACCAGTTGCCTAGAGTTCTTGACACAAGATATTCGTAACACAAACAAGATTACCATGACCAAAAATTTATTTACCACTTGCTTGTTGAAATTAAAAATTGTTGCGAGTGAAATCTCTTCTCAAGAAAACAGTTGTCATTGCCATTGGAAGACCAATTCCAAGACTGATGGGTCCCTTATTACTAGACACATCAATGATGGATATATAAACAATATAAGAAGGCATGTTGCAGAAAGATAATGCCTTAACTTGATATCCCACTCAAATTCTAAACTTAAGACTCCCAGGAGGCACATAATTCTTATTTATAGGTCCAATCTTACCCCCATTTTCGGAAAAACTCAAACTTCTGAACACCTTGACTATCAAGAGACTGTGACATCTCCTCGTCCTACTCTTAGAAGATCTAATTCATATAGTTCTTTCACAAAAGAGAAATGTTAGTGCTTAGGAAAAGCAGTTCATTGTTCAATGACTAATTTGTTTCATTTCTAGATCCTGTGGTTCTCCCTTTTCCCAACTAAAATTATTTGACAGGCTAGGGTTTCCTTAAAGCTTAAGCCATTGGTTTAGTTGGTGCCTTGCAAGCCCTTGGTTCAATCATGTGATTATTTACAAAAGGGATAATACGATCATTAAATATCTCTTTTTTCTCTGCCCCCAGCTTTCATTCAAATCTCTTCATCCTACCCAGAAGATAAACACACCATAAACATGATTGAAAAAAAGGGAAAGAGAATCAGCTTATAATTACAAGCCATGTCTTTGAAGACACTTACAAACCAAGAGGAAGATTCAATGGCAGAATAGAAAGATGTTCCGGGCATTAGGAAATTGAATAACCCGTAAGTATCTGATATAAGGAAAAACGTGTCATAAGTATATGGAGGAACTATTCAACAAAATAACATCAAAAATCTGTTAGTATCATAATAGATCATCGAAAACATGCAGAAACATACATGCAAATCCAGACAAAATGCCACATAAGTGTCCAAGTAGTGAGACATTTGTCATAAGAAGCTGGAACACTACCAGTAAGATCCATGCATACCTGAACCAACATTGCAGCAAAAATCAAAAACAGTAAATATTCTGAAAGATGAAAAGAAATGTGAAGACCAAGTTGCATCACAAGCATGCTAGGTAAGTTACCATTTAGCAGGCACATTAAACAGTCCAAACACACTGCAGAGAAAGAAGACACAAATCAGGATTAATCCCAGCAAATAGGGTGAGAATACAGAACTGTTAGAATGTGTGTTGATAAATATAAGCACATTACAATGGGTTGAAACATCAGATCTACTGCTCATGATATCCATAATGCAGAGGCACACATGTAATTTACAGAACAACTTAATTATGCCAGATGACTTCATTTTGAACCAGCCTTGGGAAAAACAAACCTTCTAGATTGAACTCCACTTAGACTTGTCTCTATCACGATCATAGAAAATAAGATTCCTGAGAAGCCTATTGCACACTCATTCATGAGATATTGATCATGGTTCAAGGGATTGTGAGCTACCAACAATGCAATAAGAAGATGAAATATGGCATTGCTTGTAGCCAGTAGAATAATCAAGTACAACGAGCGGACAGACCCCATAATTCTCTCCAGCTCAGAGCCCAATGGAACCAAAGCCATCATATTAAATAGAACATGTAATAGAGAACCATGAAAAAGAATAGCAGTATAAATCCTGTACACTGCAAAAGCAAATTCATAGTTAGTAACCATAAGACTCACAAGAATAACTCTTCAATTGATGCACATGACATAAATAAGACAAACGCTTGAGGAATGGAAAATAGGGGGGCGAGGGGAATGCAATGATCTTCCCGTAGTCTTCTTTATATGAAATGGAATTTTAAACAAATCAGAGATGGTAGCTACTTTTGTTTGGTGCCAATAAAATTCAGGCACACGATTATGTACAAAACTGACCCCACAAAGACTAAAATAAGATAAAAATGAACAGCCATTTTATTTTAAACCGGGTTGGCCTGGTTGAGAGTCAGAAAATAAAGCCTGAAGATTTAGATGCCCAAACACAGCTTCAGACTGAGCTAAGCCACCTGAGTCCTGCTCAACAGAAGCATCCCCCTCAAGATTTAAGAGGCAATGAAGAACTTTTTCCATTTTCCTTGGAGAGAAGGAGGGGGGACTCTCATAACTCATAAGGAACAATTCTTGAAATACAGTCTTCTCCCCCCTTCCACAATAGCAAAGTAACTTGAACAGATCAAACACAGATTTAACATTGGTTCAACCCAAGATCGCAAAATAGCTCAAACAATCCACCAATGTATATGATTATGCTTTGCACTTGATCTGACAATGAACAATACGGTATAGCTCACAATCAAACACGACTTCAGCATAACCATCCATCCAGACTTCTAATGCTCAATTCTAATACCAAATTCAATCAGGCAATTGCAATTGTATGTAGCTTAGAGCTACATACTCCAATGCAGCAATCAGTAAAGTGACTAAGCTGAAAAGAACTCAAGCATAGCGAACTAAAGTGGACTCGGTCTTCAGCAGATTTCTCATTAATAATGTCAGAGAAAACTGGTCAAAGAATTCGCATTACATAATATATGGTATCACAAATGCTTTGTCCCATTTTTTTTTTCTGAATAAGACAAACATTTTTATTAATATTAATGGGTGAAAAAAAAACCAATGCTTTGTCCCATCTAATTCAAGAGTTTCTTCAATACCTTCGGAATGTTTGTTTGTGAGGAAACAAGAACAGTAAACGATTTGTTTTTCAGCATAAGAAAGTGCTATTGTTAAGAAAATGTACCTTGAAATCGTGAAATAACTGCTGAGGGCCAGAAGCATACTTCGACAAATGAGTCATAACCCGCCAAAAGACAAACCAAGTATATGACCCCACAAACAACCACCACTGAAGATGTAAGGAATGGAATGCCTTGCCACCACTGTCCCACTCTTGTAGGCAGGCCTGCCTATACAAACCATACAAAGTTCAAGCCAGAAAGAAAACGAAAATCAATTCGTATCACAAATGTGATAAAACTCGAAGATTAACCTCATTTCAATATTTCAAAAAAATTCAAAAACCCTACTTTCTTCCCAAGATACTGAACTGATATTTTTTTACCACTACAAAACACAATCCAAATTGTAATTCAATATTTCAAAAACTCAAAAAACCCTAATTTCATCCCAAAGATACAGAACCGTAATTAGATCACTACAAAGCACAATCCAAATTCTAATTTCAATATTTTCAAAAACTCAAGAACCCTAATTTCATACCAAGATACTGAACCGCAATTTGATCACTACAAAACACAATCCAAATTCTCATTTCAACATTTCAAAAACCACAAAAAAACTCAAAAACCCTAATTTCATCCCCAGATACTGAACCGCAATTTGATTACTACAAAACACAATCCAAATTCTCATTTCAATATTTCAAACACCAAAAAAATCCTATTTTCCTTCTCGTGATTATTTTTATTATTATACATAATTATTAGAGACATAGTGAAGAGTGACAGTAATGTTAGGAGAGAGGGTTTACCTCAGAAACAATGTTAGATCTCATTTTTTTTTCCTGCGATTTCTTCGTGATTTGCTTTGAAAGTTGTCAAAATTCGCACCAAACCTAGCTTTTATGTAGTGTTTGCCTCTCGGTCTCTGTGGCTGTTCTCGACGTCTCTGGATCTTTAATCTTTATTCGGATTCTGATCTCATAAAACTTTCGTATCTATAATTGTTTTTTTTTTTTTTTGCCAACCGTTCGTTTCCAATTAATTTACGCATAATTCAATTAATCTCTTTATTAAAAACAAATCTTCTACATCAAAATTAGGGTATTCATGAGTAATTTTCTATCAATCTTATTTGGTGAAACGGGTTCGTGTCGAATTTTAACAGATTTGTGTCAAAAAATAGTCTACTTATAAACGATTAGTCTATTAATTTGTTTAATGAGTGGTGTTATGTATGAATTCATATATCGTGTATGGATCATATATAATCAATATACAAACGAGTGGTGTCGTATATTTTTTTTGATTGAATTTATTTATATCCGATTCATTTATTAATCGTGTGTCGTATCGGATCTACTTGTTTACGAAATGAGTAACTTAAAAAAGACTTAAATTCATTAATTTTGTATCATGCTAATAAATCGTGTCATATTTTACGACTTTTATCCATAAAAGATAAATCTCTTTTTGCCCTTTTTGCCCCTTTGACCTTTCTCTTTGAAAGACTTGGGCTACCTCTTTGAAATATTTGTTAAAAGCAAGGGTTAATTATTAATCCCACCCTCACTAGGGGCCTGCTATTACTGACACCCCCCGTTACTCTGAACAATATCAAATTACTCCCTTGGAAATAGTAATCGAGTGTATTAGAATTTATGAAACTTACTGATTACCAGTTCTATTATTTTCATTGATTTGAGATTCAAAACTTAATAAAAATTTTGACGGATGTAACATTGTTATATATGCATAAATTTCAATGACATTGTATGTTAATGTAATTATAAAAGGCCAAGTGCGGGTATTTCAGGCATATAAGTTTAATTGGTCGATTTGGACACAGTTTTTGTAGTCAATTGATACTAACAGAAATTTTAGTCATTAACCCTAAAAACAATAGCATTCTTTTATAGTTTGATTAAGTGACTTTGTAATCTTAACGTCCGTTCTTTCTTCCTATAGCATAGGCAACCGCCACTTCAACTGGGCGCTTCACCTCTCTTTTTTTCTGATTATTATTAAAAAGAGCGGAGCTTTACCTAATTCAGGGGTATGAAAGACAAATAAAGGAATCAAGGGGCTTTATGATTGGAGAAATTATCCTAATAAATATCTGTGGGATTTGATTAGAAGAATCGATTTTGAATTTGCTTGAAAAGCACACCAAGCCTTAGGGACAAAGGTGTCACCTGTCACCCAAAGCAAACAATCTAGTGCATAAATATCTTAAAATCCAAACTGCAAAACAAATTACAAGAAAGCAAAAAGTCGAGAAAAAAAGGAAAATTCAAAAACTGCTCTTTGCACCTAAAACATTCCAAATAAAGCATTTATGCCAAGTGACAATTTTTTTTGACGACTCGGGCTTCCTCAATCATGCTTGCCAAAGCAATAAGCTTCACCAGGAAGAATCTACTATAGCCAAGCCCTGCAACCTCTTCTTCTTCTTCTTCTTCTTCTTTTGCTTTCTGGGTAGGCCCAAGCGCCAAATCTGTGTTTCAAGTTAAACCACATCAGATGAACCCACAACAGAGACAGATCTTATCTGAAACCAACAAGAATAACAAATTTCAGTAGCTGGTTTGGGTTAAACAAAATGCTGGAAACAAGAAGTTAGCAAATGAAAACAAGAAGAAAAGAAGAAAGAAAGAGAAGTAGTACAGGTTGAGAACCTCATAAAAGTTGTTCCTAGTGCGTGCCAGAATCGCACAATCCCAAATGCTATTTCAATATTGATGAGTGCATACTCCATGAAAAGTTAGAATTCATTTTTCTAGGAGTAACAAAAAATATTTTACAAAGGAACTTGCCAAATGTCGATTTTGACTTACATGATTGCTGTCATGCAGAGATGGGAAAGCACCTAATCTCTTATTCCCAACCTCCTAATCTCAGTGTGGGGTCATAGTTTGTAAACAGTCGGAACTCATTGCCCAGTTTGCTTAAGTGCTGAGGCTGAAAACCACATGGACGCAACCCCAGGAGCTCTGCAGCCCTGTCCTTTTGTACCTCTCCTGTGCATAATCATAGTAGAAACTCTTAGCCCTATAATTAGGGGAAAAAGGGGGTAAGTATGTGATCAGCACACCAGATCATTGTTGAGACCACTAAATATTCTGCCCTTATTTCTGTGCTAATTGCCGAAGTATCAATATGTTACTATAGCATAGGCTGTTAGGATTTGGTAAGTGGTAAAACACATACCTGTGAGTAGAAGCAAGTATAATTCTCCTGGCTGCCCAAGAAAAGAAATTGTTTGAGCAACTTTCTCCAAGCACTCCTTGCTCTGCCATCAAAAACATCAGTTACCTGTCTGGGGTTTGTAGCAACCAAGTTGAATAGAATTATTTATTTCAACGACAAACAGCATGCAGGAATAAGACATAGGGGTCATGAAAAAGAATCCGTGAAGAGATATAATACACAATCTCTTCCCAGCATGGAAAAGGAAAATTATGATCACAATGTGACTCGGCAAAAGAAAAGATCTTTTCAAGTTCATAGACATCCTCTGATGCAAAAACATGGTAAAAATGCACTACATAAATCATTGGGCTGGCTGATTCCACCTATACTGGAGGATGGTTGGATCCCTGACAAAATCATCCCTCATTTGGATTACTTGCACTGCTACTGCACACATAACGGATCAAGGTCTCCATCCATAGCAGGTATCATCTTACTACTTTTAGGGAAGCATATTTTCTATATTTGACCTCATATCGTGAATCGAACTCCGAAACACAAATCATATCAAGTACAACAATGCAGCATATATAACATCATTTTTCATGCATATGGCAACATATCATCTTCAACATCTTGTGTTTACTTAATCCCATTCAAGTAATTCTAAACAAATTTTCAGCTGGCAAAACGAAGGAAAAGAAGACACCCTAAGAAGTCCATAGCATTGAAAGCCATAAAAACTGTTGATCAAATTAAGTTTCCATTCAGTAGAAAAAAAAAGACATGAAGGTTAAAAAGCAAATCTAGAAAAGTGATACCAAAACCAGTAAGTATCAATAATTAAAGAAGTAATCATAAAAGGTGGAGACTCTCTCCCGTATTAGCAAGTATTTTGCAACAATAACAATGAAGTCTCTCCTCAAAATTACTCATACAGAAGGGAATGCAAATTCTCAGAGAGATTAATAGAAGATTTATGCTCAATAGTGATTTTTGACACGATTAATATGCACAGTCTCAAAGGGATTAATAAACCATATATGCTCAATAGAGATTTATGCATATTCACAAATTTCTAATTTCTCAGCAAGTGCAAATTAGGAGTGAATTCTCAGAAAAACAAACTAATTTCTCACCAGGTATGGCGGGTCTGCAACAACTATTTGATACGCATTTTTCATCGATGACGGAAGATCTTCTGGTTGGTTATAGTCGTAGAAGGTGAACTCACTTCCATATTGCTCAAAACGATTGTCATATTCAAGAAGTTGCACAGATACGGTAGGATTAATTTTCTGAAATTCAAATGAAGGATTAAAACATGTAAATCACCAGATAATCATATTACATTAGGATCAATTCCCCCAATCTCATTTGCTTTCATACAATCACGACGAAAATTCACATATAAACCCAATAAATACAAAATAATTCAGTGTGTAGGAGAAGAGAAAGTGCAAAAATGTTATACATACCTTGAGATAGGCGTAAAGTGTGGGGCAAGCGATGCAAGCGACCTTGGGGGAATCTAACGTCTGGCAGAGAGTGAGAACTTCTTCGGCAACGGTCTCAGCGGTGCGGCGGTCGTACCAGAACTGGCTGAGACGCCAATCCTCCGCCAATAGCGCCACCGATTCCTTCTCCTCCGAAGCGCCGTCGGTGCTGTAGTCGGCGTTGAGTGTGCGGTTTTGTTCGGAGAGGAACTCTTTCAGTGCTTCCAGAGCAAAAGAGCTCAGAACCGGAGGGTCTGCGTCGTGGTCGTCGTCATCGATGACGTCGTTTCGAGTGTACGGATGTGCTTCGTCGTCTCCCACCGATTCCATCTACAGTTTTGTTGCCTGAAGCTCTCCGACTCCGACGGCTAGAGGGTTTACGACTTTGTTACTTCAAATGCTTGAGTTGGGCCTCAATTGAGGCCCAATAAGTGTCTTATACTAAACATTTGGGTGAGTGAAGTTGGGCCTAGATTTTTGCTGGAGATTTGAGGCTAGACTTTTGATTTTTGATTATTCAATGGATCGGGTTTGAATCAAATGTTGATTGATTTGAATCCGAACTTAAAATGCCAATTCAAATTCGATTCCAATATTCGATGAATTTTATTTTTATAATCCACATTTAAATCTGTTAAATATTTTAAATTCGATTCGATTTGAATAACTTAATTTAACTAGGTTTTAACAAATTATATTTTAATTTTAATTAAATTTCTTCAAATAATCACTTAAATACTTTAATATTTATATATAAATATTTTGGATCAAATTCGAATCAAATTCAATTTCGTTAAATACTATTTACCTAGTTTGTTTATTTTCCTAAGCCGCACCAGTCAGTAATTCATCCCACCCGTGACTTGTGCTCCGTTTGGTACGATGAAAAAATAGAAGGATGAAAAGTTGGAAGGATAAATAAAACATTATGTTTGGTAACGAAGAAAAATAGTAGAGATGCGACTTGGGTTGGACTACCCGATTTCAACCCGAGCCCAACCCAAAGAATAATATCCATTACATAATTAGAAAATATTCAAATACGATAAGATCCAATTCAAATGTGATCCATTGATAAGATTACAAAGGATGTTGCCTAGATATAAAAGCTACATCCACCACAAATTGAGTTGAATATTCATGGTCCATCAATGCATACTAAACGGAGCTTAAGTGCCTGGTTCACTACTTTTAAGCAGCTTGGATTGAATTAACTATTGAATAAACCAAAGAAATAGAAGCCAATATCCATGAACTTTTAAAGCCAATATCCATTTACAAGAAGAGAGACTTTTAAAAAAGAACAAAGATGAATTAGTGGTTCAACCAATTTTAAATGAGTTAGTGGTTTAACATGATATCAAAGTTTGAAAGTCTTTTGAGTTTAAAACCGCGCAACCACCAATTCCTCTACTACACAATACAACCATGTAGACGGACCATCTTAGAGGGGGCGCACACATGAGGGAGAATATTAAATGAATATTTATACTAATTTCTATCCACTTAAACTTTTAGAGGAATTTTTAATTTAATATATATATTTTTTAATATTCTAGAGTTGGGAAGCTTATGGCAAATAACCATATCAAAGTTAGCTTCCTCTCTTATGAATTATTTCTTTACCAATTTAGTCATCACAACAGTGTCATCAGCTGCGCCAATTCACACATGAGAAAAGACAACCGATCAGAACACGAACCAATTTCCACTACTCTAAGTTCTTACCGAGTGTAGCGAAATCAAAGTTTATGATAAAGTAATGAAATTTATACGGTGCTTGATAAAAAAAAAAATCGGCCATCAACCTCCCTAGGAATGAGATGGAGTTGATTCAAGTGTGCAAAAGTTAAGTTCAACAAAACTCCGAACAAAAAATCACCTCACCTGTAAGTTTCAGATGAAAAGGACTTAGCTATTGTACCAAATGAAAAAATTTGATATCATACTTCTAAAATTTATTATTTTTATAATTTTTGTAGATATTTTTACGACAAAAAAATTATTAATTTTGTAAATATTTTTATCACTGTTGTGGTAACTATTTTCCACTTTTGTGTGTGTCCTTGTAATTGAAGCCACAATTTTTTTGACAAATATGTTCAAACTCAAAACTTTAGAGCCGCTCTATGCAATTTCCTTATTTAGAAATCATTCTGATTATTTTAATTTCGATTGATAAATGATGATGAAATGCATAAATCCAAAAAGATTTAGCTCTTGCCGAAATTGGAAAATCTTTTAAGACTTAAAAAACTGATTTAATGATGTGTCAAGTGATATAGTCTCAATGAAGAAGTTCAAGAGTTACGATCATAACATTATTAGACCATATCACTGTCATGAGAATAAATTATTTATAGGCAACTTACAACTAGGGATATCAATCATATCGTGTTCGCGTGATTCACATATCATGTTATTCGTATCATGTCATGATTATTCGTGTCGTGTTCATATCAAGATCCGCAAAAAAAAAATCCATTTAGTGTGTTATCGTTGTTAAACATTAGTCTAAATTACTTATTATACGTATTTAATAATCGTGTCAATTTTATAATTATTTATGTCGAATTCGTGTCAACGGATAATTAGATCAACAATTTAAATCAATTTTTAAAATCCCAATAACATTCCTCTTCCAAACATAATAGTTGTCTCTGTCTGTGTGTGTGTGTTTTTTTTTTATACTATTCTGAGTTTACAAAACAAGTCGGCAGTTGTGGAAAAATTTATGTCAACTGACAAGCCACATATATTATATTCATTACCATCAATATCCATGTAAAAATATGTTATGTCCTTACCATGTTTTTCTATTGACAATCAATTGAATGTCTATTTCAACTTCCTTGAGCGACACAGATCGATACATTTTATGTATCTAAGTATAGTTTTTCACGTCAAACATTGTTGAATGACATTAAGTATAGTTTTTCATGTCAAACATCGTTGAAGCACATATTAAAAAGGGACTGGACAGCATACTCTCGCCACTGTGGATCGGATGCACACAGTTTTACCTTCCTGGTGGAGAGACATTTTCCGTGATTTGAATCTTTAGTGAAATAACCATAGCGATGTGGTGAGACCTGCACAGATTGAATCACATATGTAATGTTTATGAATTGCTAAGGAACATGTAGATTAATCAACACCATGAAACTATAGACTCTCTCTCTCTCTCTCTCTCTGAGACTAGAGTTTGCAACCTTCATGACTGGTTCAATCGTCTTCCTCTCCTCTTCCTATCGTTGCCATCTCAAAGATTCAATGAGAAGCTGGTATTATGTACCTGCCAGCTTAGCTTTCATCACCTTCCTTTTCGTTCCCTTCTATATCTCTTTGACATCAAAACTAATCCTTCACCATATCCATCACCTTCGCATAGAACCACCACTTGGGTTTTCAACCATCACTACACAGATAAATACAGCCCCCAGAATTGCGCTGGAGACTCCTCTTGAAATTTCGTCTCGTGGATTGCCAGAACTGGTCGGAGTCGATGGAACTCCTTTCCTGTCAAATGTCAGTGAAGATCCAGAGACTCAATGGTCACAAGGAGTACCTCAAATGGGGTCATATGGTATGAATTCATGGTTATGTTGTAGAGTTATTAATATGAAGACATGTAGAATATACAACAATGTTGCAGGCTCTGAACAAAAATGCAAGTTCTTATAAGGTGTCATACTGCATAACTTTCAAGAAGGATAAGAATTGAAATTATTACTCAAACTCATAGCCGATCATATATCGCCATGATTGGTGAGGTCAATTGATTTATGTGACATCACCATTGTTACGTCCATCTACATGCATTTTTTTTTTTTGGGATAACAAAACTTGTCTCAACTACATGTTCTTTGGAAGCGTGGTTGCATCTCAAACTCCAGATGTACTTAGTGGGGGTAAAAAGGAATATAAGATTCTCAGGACATAGTCAAACTTGACAATTATATCCAATTACATATATCTTTTTAATAATGAAAAGCCTTCTCAATAAAGCGTTCTTTGGACTCATGGTAGCATCTCAAAAACTGGGTACTCATAATCAGGTAAACCAGACTCTCTTGCACTAGTCGAACTTGATATCTCGAGATATATAGCAATCGATAATGCCTGAGGTTTTTCCATACAAAATACACTAACGGGTTGGTTCAGTCATAGTATTTGAAATGCAGGGATGGATTAGATAATTGGATAGTGTTTTTAGAGTCACTGAATGCCAAGGATTTGTTCACTTTGATGGGTTTTTAATGGTTCAGGGAAGTATGCAAGTAACAACGAGATGCTTGATGATGGAGACATTAATATGAAGAACAATGAGTATAACAATGAAACGTTACCAGACAGAGATGTCTTCACGAAGAACAATGTGAATAACAGAGAGGTATTCCATGAGAGCAGTATCTTTCTGGAGAACTACAAGGAGATGAACAGAAGCCTGAAGATATACGTTTATCCCCACAAGCGAGATGATCCCTTTGCAAATGTGCTCTTGCCAGTGGATTCTGAGCCTGAGGGTAACTACGCCAGTGAAAGTTACTTCAAGAAGGCTCTTATGAATAGCCATTTCGTCACCACGGATCCTTCCAAAGCAGATCTCTTCTACCTGCCGTTTTCAATTGCAAGTTTGAGGTATGACCCGAGAGTTGGGCCTGATGGTATCCAAAATTTCATCAGAGACTACATCTCCAATATCAGTCATGATTATCCTTACTGGAACCAAACAGGCGGGGCTGACCATTTTTACCTGGCTTGTCATTCCATTGGAAGATTAGCCATGGAGAAAGCAGTTGAAGTAAAACTCAATGCCATTCAGATGGTGTGTTTTTCCAGTTATTTCCTGCCAGGGTATGTTGCTCACAAAGATGCATCCGTGCCACAGATTTGGCCACGAAAAGGAGATCCCCCAACTCAAGCACCATCGAAAAGGTAAGCTTCTCTTCTTTTAAGTACCTACGTTTAGGGACAGATCCAAAAATTAAGTCTCGGCAACAAAGGCCTTGGACAAATCTTAAAGAGTCACTTAGCTAATAAATAATTTTAATTGTCAAACTTTGGGGAGCGATTGCCCACTCATACTTCCGGATTCATCTTAACCTACCTCTATTAGAGCTAATGTTTGAGATAAAAGTTCAATATTAGCTACCTAAACAGCCAAAAACAGAGGTTTATTTCATTATTGTGCTTACTGGATGAACTAAAGCTCTATTTTTGAAATGGAATTCAGGAAAAAGCTTGTCTTCTTTGCCGGAGAAATGAACTCTCGAGTACGTAAATATCTTCTTCAAGAATGGAGAAATGTCACTGAGATCTTTGTCCACCAAGGAAGGCTCAAAACACCTTACTCTGAAGCTCTTCTTGGCAGCAAGTACTGCATCCATGCCAAAGGCTTTGAGGTGAACACGGCTCGTATCGGGGATGCACTGTATTATGGATGTGTTCCTGTCATCTTGGCCGACTATTATGATCTCCCATATGCAGATATATTAAATTGGGAGAGCTTCTCTCTGGTTGTTTCAACAGTAGATATCCCATTGTTGAAGAAAATAGTTGAAGAGATAAGCTTTGATCAGTATTTGAGATTACAGAGCAATGTACTGAAGGTACAAAAACATTTCCAGTGGCATCATTTTCCAGTTGATTTTGACGCTTTTTACATGGCTATGTATGAGCTATGGCTCAGAAGGAGTTATGTGAGACTCCCCTTGGGTGCTTTGTAGTATCCTAGTTGAGAGGAACACATGTAAATGGGCCATATAGGAAAAAGAAAACTGTAAATTGTATTATTTTTCAACACATGCAAAAAATTAAAGCAGATCCTAGAGAAATCTATAAGTACTCATCTTCTTGACGGTACATTGCAGGTTAGAATGTGGAAATCAATCTCTCCAAAATAGGGGTTAGGTTTTCTGCCACTTACTTCTCCCATACTTTGTTCTAGGTAAAAACCTTGTGCACTTTGTGTGATGTCTTTTAGATTTATGAAAAGGTTAAGGCCAATTCATGGACATCAGGGCTTGACTTGGTAAGATACAAATCCAATTTATGTGAAGCTACACACAAATGTGAAATGTTTGAGCTACGCATTAAACGTGGTCATATACACAAGACAAGCATTATGATGACCCAAATGCATAACTATCATTACTTGACTATTTTTTCTTCATGTCAAAACCCAAAAAAAAAAAAAAAGATAGGTGCAAGCGCAAGTAGAAGCCACAGTCTCGGATAATATGAATGAAAAGAATGCCCGAATATCTGAAAATTGAGATGAGTGGGTGAATAGCTTATAGGAAAATATATACTTTTCAGCATCATTTTAGGCTTTGGTTACTAAAAATAATGGAGGCATTCCGCTTTTTCGCCTATTGGAGGGGTGGAAATTTTGTGTGATTCATAGCTTTTATGCATTGTATCTTGATGTTTGTTTTTTTTCTCACAGTTGGACTTCTTGTACACCTTACTTTACCTTTTGATGTAATACTCCTAAATCAATACAATCGTTCTGTTTCATATTGAAAAAAAAAAATATATGGCCGGAGATCTTTTGGTTGGTTGTACTCGTAGAACACGATCTCACTTCCATATTGTTCAAAACGTTTGTCATATTTAGAACTTGCACAAATATACAGTAGGATTCATTCTCTGAAATTCAAATGAACGAAAAAACATGTAAATTACGAGATACAACACTGGGATACACACACACACACACACACATATATATATATGTGATTATGTGGATATATACCTTGAGATAGGCGTGAAATCTGACACAGAGAAAACTCCTTCGGCGACGGTGCCGGAGATGTTGCGGTCGTACCAGAACCAGCTGAGCAGCCAGTCCTCTGCCCCCCCAGCGCCACCGAAGAGCCGTCTGTGAGGTCGTCGGCGACGAATGTGCTGTTTTGTTCGGAGAGAAACTCTCTGAGGGCTTCTAGAGCATAAGAGATCAGGCTGGGATGAAATGCTTGACATGTTGGGCTGATTGAGTTAGGCCTAAAATTCCCGCCCAATAATGTGATCCAAAACATTGGCATCTGACATTGGGCCCGGCCTTTTGTTAGAGATTTGAGGCTTGAGCTCCGATTTTTAATAGTCCACAACGTATGAATTTCATTAACCCAATATGAAATTAATTGGTTTGTCTTCCAAATTTTTAGCATTTTTTAGGTATCTATATAACTTTTTTGGGTGGAGCTTACTAAATTTTGGAGTGCATTTATTTATTTTTTGTTCACTTACCTTTTTTGGAATCGTTTGCCACTTTTTAGTTAGAGTTTATTGCTTTTTTGAGGTTTTTTTTTCTATTTTTTATGTATCGTAATATTTTTCAATGATTAATAAATAGTTCGTATTTGGGTTCATATGTTTGTTAGACCATCTCTAACTTTGATTCAAACTCAAAAACATATGTTATTGATTATGAAACAAATTTGCAATAATTCAAAACTTGATTTGACACAATATAGTGAAATGGTTGACTTTGCTATATTTGCATTAGGCCTCCATGTAGCGACTCAGGCATTGCTCAATAACGGTGCAGACGAAACATTTGAAATTTAAACGATGACAAACTCAAAATTAAATAATGATGAAATATAACAATTGAATTTTTAAATGAGAGTAAAATCTAATAATTAAATATTTGAATTTCTCTTAATTTGAATAAAAAATTGAGTCTCACTTTATTTGATACGAGTTTGAGTAAATAATTAAAATTTATTTTTATTTAAATTCAAATTTAAATTTAAATGACGATTGGAGTAAGAGTTGGAGATATGCTAATGCTGTTACGTTTGTGCCTAACATTGTCATCCCCAAATGATCCATACACACAACACAAGTCATTGGTATAAAAAGGCAAAAATCAACAAAGGCGCTACTGCCACTCTGTCTTGGCTCTGCTTCTCTCACATATTCCCCTCTCCAGACCCTGCCTTTGTCACACACCACAGCCCCCACCTCTCTTTTTTTATCTCACTTTGCAATACCAAGTTCGTTTGTTGGAGTTTCGATACGAATAAGTCTCAATTCTCAAGTTTGATACTTCCCATACTCTTTAAGGGTTAGTCATCATTGTTTTTTAGGGGACATATCTTTAAATTAGTTTGAGTTACAGTGACTAGCTCAAAGTTCGGAAAAATAATCGATACAAACCTAGATACCCTGTAACCAAAAAAAAAAAGTTCGTTTGTCTCAAGGTTTCTGAATCAGAACTTCTGATTATGCACTAAATATGAACGATTTTTTTTTTTCTGATTGTATGCATCCAAAGTTTGGATTAGAGGTAAGTCGAGAAACACATGGCTGAAACAATTTTTTTCTAAACTCCCCCAAAAAAAAGTCGAGTTAAAAAACAAATTGAAAAAATAGATGAAGAGGATAGATGCTTCACTTAAAATACTCTAGCACTTGTTTGTTCCTATTGTATAAGTGTATAACAACTCTTTCTAAGGGTTAGATGCTGACATTGTTCTGTACATATATGTATATATTGCATATGCATCATGTGCATGCACATGTTGGTTTTGTCATATCATGCACATGCAAGTGGAAGCTACACAGCTCGACCATATTCACTTGCAGGATGGTGGCTGGTTTATCTTCCACAATCAAGGGGAAGATAAACATAATTTAGTGTTTAGAGTTAAAGGATTCAGAGTTAAAGAAGCCTCTTCTGTTTAAACCCGGGTTTATTGGGTGATTTTTCTATTAATTTTTTGGGCAAAAACATTTTTTATCAACACTAAAGAAAAGTTGAAAAATGAAACTTATTCAAAGGTTTCAAAGAACAAATCGACTTTTTCAAAAATCAGATGATCCAAACGGCTTAATGTGCAAGAGAAGATAGACAAAAGAAGCAGTTGAAAATAACAAGATGTTACATGCTATATCAAGGTGCCGTGCAACAGCCTGGGGGTGATACGTTGCTGAGTCTAGGACAGCGACTCAAACCATTTGACCAAATTGGGTGAGACGATCACAAGTCCAGTGAAACTCGAGGTTTATATAAAAAGTGAAACTCGAGGTTTATATATAAAAAATAGACTTGTATCAAAACGGAGAGTGTTAAAGTAAAACGGTATCAAGTAATAATTGTGACTTTGAGACGATTATTATATAAGACTAATGAGTAAACGAAATTTCTCCAAATAAATTACCGGTCGGGCGAAATTGGTTCATATTATTGATTTCTCCAACCATGATTGTGATCACTTCCTGTGACATCTTCTTATTTTAATGTGTTCATCAACTTTTGTTGTTTCATCCTGCACTAGATTGGTATCTATTACAGGAAGATACTGTTGCCGGAACTAGATATGTGTATATATATATAAATATATCATTTTCACTTGCATTAGGATGATATTAAAAAAAAATTCCAAGCCCTTGAGTCATCCCAGAGAATTTTCTTCTCGTTCTCCAAATTCTTTCATCTTTGATGATGGGACAACTCACCAGCCAGTAATACAAAAAATTCAATAAAAAAATTGATGTATAAACAAGGTAGTCCCCCCCCCCCCTCTCTCTCTCTCTCTCTCTCTCTCTCTCATTGGGTATATTGATATGTTATTTCAAGCAAGTTGTCACTTGTTCCTTATGGATTCTATACGTTGTGATTTCATTATCAATTGAATTAGCCATCTTACCTACCATGAAGGGAATAATCATCTATAATTCAAGAAGGGAAGGGTGCTAAAATAATTGTTGTATGGTCATAACTATTAAATCATAGCTAATTGTTGTATGCTTATGGTCTCACAAAAACAATAATATTATTTGGATCTGATTTACTGATATTTTCTATTATAATCATTAGATTATTAGCGGGTCTCAATGAGTATTAAAACTTACAATCAATTCAATGATTATGATTGATTAGCTCAATAACTAAATAAATTAAATTCAAATAGCATTGTTCGAAAAATTAGATCATCCACAAAAAACCCAACTCACCAAGTTTAGCTTCTTTCTAAATATGTACTCTTTCCAAGTCGAATGAACAGTGACATCACCTTAGAAAAATTAAAAAACCCATCCTTTCATTTAATAATTCTCATTTGGTGATTCAAGTGGGCAAAAGTCACCTCATTATATTGAACAAGTTTAATCAAACGGTCTAGTGTCTACATTAATCAAAATGTCCTTCTAGGTTTTTTGATCCCCAACACCCCCCCTCCCCCCCAAAAAATAAAAAAAAATATTGGCCATTGATCAATATTTGGTCCATGTTAATCGAAGGTGTTAGAAAAGATCGAGACTAAATTTGGTTTTATTTGTGCAACGTCGTCGACCTTGTAATGGAACCAAAAATTATTTTTGTAAATCCATCAGAACCGTAAGTTAATAGTTACAATCCCAAACACTTTACCACTGCACTAGACAATGATAAATCCAACGGAAAAAGTAATTTAGTAGTTGGAATCCTTTTAAAAAAACAGAAACAAAAAAAAGAACAAAAAATCAGTTTTGAACTTTGGTGCAATCAATTTACTTTTGGCATATATGATTAACCTTGTTTGTCATAAATGTCACCAACCCTATGAACTTTTCCTTATTCTACAATCAATTTGATTTGTTTTAATTCCAAATATATAAATTTAGATGACAAAACTATACAAAACAAAGTCTTGCTGTTTTGTCATGGGGAAACCTTCCACAGAAATATTAGTCTTATGTGTGTGCCATAAGGTTTGAACATTAGAGTTGGCAATTTGACCTAATCAAAAATTTTACAACTAGGAGAAGGTTCTCCACCTAAATTTATGGTTTGTTTTTAATTTGGATGATTTGTAACTAGATTTAAAAATAATATAATAATAATAATAAATAAATAAATAAATTGTACGTGTCACATTTTTATTAGAAAAAAAATATTAAAGTTGTGACACACAAATTATTTTTCGATACAATGGTTTCAGCCTCAAAATGATATACTCTAGTCACAAGGCCGAGTACATTATCTAATATATAGGTTAATTGTATTGGAGGTTCTAAAAGTATGAGGTTTATCTCATTTTAATCTCTGATATTTCAATTTTATCATTTTAATTTTTAAAGTATTGAATATATTTCTATGTGGTCCCTCAAGCAGACAACGTCCAGATTGCTAACGATTTTTAATTATAAACTTGTCACGTAGTATATGATCAAAAAAATAATTTGGATAACTCTTCATTAAATTTCTATTCAAATTTTGGTGAAAGAACTATTCAAATTACATAGTTTTGATCATGTGCTATCCAAATTTTAGTCAAGTGCTATCCAAATTTTGGTCAAGAACTACTCAAACAAATTTTTTTATCTATATTTAAGTATCTTATAACCAGTTTATGATAAAAAATTGTTAATAATTTTAATTTTTTTTTATATCTAAGCATAATTTCACACGTCAAACTTCATTATTGAATAGTCTGTTTAAACTGCTCATGTGTGCATGAGAAATGACGTACCACATAAGTTTACTAGTATAAGGCTATAAACTGACCATACAGCCTTGAGAGGCTGCTAAGAAAATTGTAGAAAATTCAACTCCATGAAACTGTAGATTCAGTTCCCTCTCTCTTCCTCTCTCTTTCTCTCTAGCTCAAACTTACCTGATAAAGAATTTCGTTATCTTATAACCGTCAGAGTTAGAGAGCGGGATTCGTCTCTCTCCCTCCCTCTCCCTCTCCCTCTAGCAGACTATAGATTGCAGCCTTCATGGCGGTTTCAGTCTTCTTCTTCTCTTTTTTCTCTCATCGCCATCTCAGAGAATCATTGAAAAGCTTGTTCTATGTACCAGCCAGCTTAGCTTTCATGACCTTCATTTTCCTTCTAATCTATATCTCTTCAACCTCAAAACTAATCATCCACACCCACCACATCCATCAACTTCACATAAAACCACCACTTCAGCTTTCAACCATCACTTCGCCGCTACCGACCTCCCCGATCGTCAGAATTTCGCCTGAGAATCTCTTTGAAAATTCCTCTCTGGGTTTGCCAGAACCGGATGAAGTCAATGACAATCCTCTCTTACATAATGTTATGGAAAATTCAGAGAGTCAATTGTCACAAGGAGGAGTACTTCAAATGGCCTCAAATGGTATGAAACCACTAGTTTTATTTAATGATTTACTACTTCTCTTTTCATTTTACATTATTATTTAGCAAAGTTAACTTGCACTTCATTCAAATTATGTTATATATATCACCAATGCTTTAAGCAAATGACATCTCAAATTAATAAGGATTATTGGATTAGTGAGTCCCATTTAAAAAAATTGATAGTACCCACTCATCCAATAGTCCCTATTCATTTGAGTTGCCATTTCGGAGCCAATATAGGTTCAATAGTATTTTCCTATATTCCAACACATTTAAGATATGTTCATATTAGTCCTTTTCTATTAGTTGGATTTGTTGACTATTTCCCAAGTGGGTATATGGATGGAACTTTATTTTTTATACTGCATATTAAGCAACAAAATGAACTGTAAATCCATCATGATTGTTTAGATAAGACGATTTAACAGGTTATTTTCTCGAAATTTCAAGTTTGTATTTCACAAAAAAACACTTTAGTTGAACTTATACTCTTAATTAAGTAACTGTGTGCATCTGAATTTTATGTTGAAACCACAAATCTAAAAGACAGTTATGATTGGAGAAAAAAAAAAAACTATAAATCTCAATATAGTTCTATAGGTGTTGAAATCCTTTACTAAAATTGAGATTAAAAACTGCCTTTGCTGGTCTAGTATTATTGGTACTAACACACTTAAAATGAAAAATTTGTCTAGTTGCTAAAAAAGTCTATCAGTTGTCGCTACCAATTGTCTGTTCTTAATATGCTAGTTGCAGTGGCGGACCACATTGAAGGGAGAGGGGGACACTTGCCCCCTCTCTAGATTTTTTTAGTAGCTCTTAGTTATAGATTGTTACAACAATCATGATTTTCTCTAGTCTAACAGATTGCCCCCTTTAACTTTTGAACATTTACAGTCCTTTTTTTAGGTATCTTAGTGGCCCATTAATAGCTCTCCTAATGAAATAAGTCACATGTTTTATTTTTGTACAACATGAACTATCTATGAAATGCCCTAACCTTTAAGGGCCTGTTTGATAAGGGGGGATGGGAAGGCTTGGTAAAATGAATTTGGGAAAACTAGTTTAAAGTTTTTTCAAATCTCATGTCTGTATGAAAAATTTAGTCTTAGATTTTCAAATTTGGCCCTTAGTTGGCCTGAAAATTAAACCCATTATCATGGGTTTTGTTAAACTTAGGGAGAGAGTGAGTTTGAGAAGATAAATAAGAGGTTAACGATCCAAAATACAATTATATCTCTTAACATGAGTATGAATTGGGTTGATTAAGGATAAAATAGTCATTTATAGAACGAATAATAATTAATAATTATGATATATACGTGGGTCCTATATATATGTGTGTTGCATACCAAATATGAGTATCAACGTATTAAATGTTAAATCTCATTTTTACAAAGAGAGGTTTGAGTTTGGAAGGGTTTGGAGAAACCAATCTAAACCTCTTTCTAAAATTCATCCAACCAAACCCTAAATGTATTGATCAAAGATGATCCCACTTTTTCATTGGATATAGTGTACCCATTTAAAAGATTACATTATTTCTCTTAATTTTTCAGGAAGTTAGTGGTTCATAACCCAATAAAAAATAATCACAATTAAATAATACAACTACCTACCCAAAATCACATTTTTTTTTCTTGTTTCTAAAGAATTAATTTTGCAATAAGGTGGAGGATGATCTTAATTAGACATTGCAATAACATGATGGACACATTGTCAAAGACTCTAATTGTATACATTGAAAAGAAAGTTTGTAAGAATTCTAATATATGATCAATTGTAAACGATTTTTGAGATTTAGAAGAAAAATGCGTTTTGCTTTGATAAATTACTGATACTAATTTTAGGATTTATATGCATACTAATTTAGTATTGAATCTTATTATATTTCTCGTGTTGAAAATCTCAGTTTGTTGGTTTTCTATTATTTTTAGAAATTTTAAGTTTTTCTATGATAGTGATATATCATTAAAAGAAAATGACATCCGAATAGAACTTAAGCTCCGTTTATAGATTGCATGGTTGGTGGAGTCTTCACTAAACTGGCATGGTTTGGTTAAGGTACTTGATTTATCTGCCACCTATGTTAGGTCCATTAGATGCATATTTTCGATAATAAAAAATAATTCCAAGCACAAATTCGGGTTACGTTTATAAGAATCACAGACTAATAGATTATCGTCTCGTAATCTTTGGTAAACTAAGATTCTTGCTTTTACAAGAATCGAACTTTGGGCTTAAGCAATCCCTGAAATCTTCCCTTTGAAACTATCCTAACAGATTGACTTTTGTGCAGTTTAGTGAAATGAATCAAATTTAACAATAAAAGTAATTAAAACCAAGTCCTATTATTGTACCAAAAGGTCTTTTTCCACATTGTACCTTCATTTTTTTAACCAACAAAAATTTCTCATGTGTGTAATTTTTATTTTATTTTATCCTTTTTCTCAATTAATATCGATCATTCAGACCGAAGTTGATACGGACTTTATAGTACAGGCTTACCCTCGAAAACTATGGATTAGACACTTGTCTAGGGTTTTGGGGTCACTCAATTATTGTACAAAAGATTCTTTAGGAATTATCTATGGTACCAAAAAAAAAAAAAATTGATATCATACTTTTATTTAGCACATTTATTGATATTTTTAACATTATTATAAGTATTTTTATTATTATTGTGGTACCAAAAAAATTGGACAAAAAAATTATCACAATAGTAATAAAAACATCCATAATAGATGTAAAAATAGTTATTACAATATGATAAAAATACCTACAAATATGATAAATTATTCTAAAAAATAATAAAATTTTTAATTATAAAATAATTTACAAAAATTATAAAAAATACCCACTAAAATAGTAAATTTGAAGTAACGATATCAAATTTTTTGTATGTGTACCGTGGTCAAGTCCCTTCTTTAAACTTTGTCTCTGCGTGTTGTAGGTTTTACTGTTACAGAAACTTATGAAAGTAACAACGAGGTGAATAACAACGAGGTGTTGCCTGAAAAAGATATCAACGAAGAGTTGCCTGAAAAAGATATCTTCATGAATAACACTGAACTGAACAACAAAGAGGTGTCCCATGATCATCAAGACATCTTCGTACACAAAAACGAGGTGTTCCACGACCCTGAAATATTTTTACAAAATTATAAAGAGATGAACAGAAGCCTGAAAATCTACGTTTATCCCCACGAACGAAACCATCCCTTTGCGAACGTCCTCTTACCGGAGAAATCCGAGCCCGGAGGTAACTACGCCAGTGAAAGTTTCTTCAAGAAAGCTCTAATGAAAAGCCATTTCATCACCAAGGACCCTTCAGAAGCAGACCTATTCTACCTCCCATTTTCAATAGCAGGATTGAGGAATGACAGGAGAGTCGGGGTCGGAGGGATTAAAGATTTCATCAGAGACTATGTTTATAAGGTTAGCCATGAGTATCCTTATTGGAATCGAACAGGTGGTGCTGATCATTTTTACGTGGCTTGTCATTCTGTTGGGAGGTCAGCAATGGAGAAAGCTGTTGAAGTGAAGCTAAATGCCATTCAAATGGTGTGTTCTTCGAGTTATTTTCTGCCTGGGTATATTGCTCACAAAGATGCATCAGTCCCACAGATTTGGCCGAGGAAAGGAGATCCCCCAACTCGAGCACCATCCAAAAGGTAAGCTTTTCATCTTTTAGAGATGCAATAGTGCTGTGGGGATCAAATTTTAAGATTAAATTTGGAGCCCAAATAAGATGACAATACTTTATTTGAAGTCTTTATTGGAGACTAAATGACATGACACTAAATAAAGAACCTCAAATCAACTGTCATGTTCTTTGAGTTCTAAATTTGATCCTAATATTTGGTCAATGTAATATTACTGTTAAAGATATCCATTTTAGTGAAAGAATATTCAATAAAACAGTCATTAATTATGAATATCGATGACATGACATCCTCAATTAATAATGAAATTATAAATGAATAAAGTGAATCCTACTTAATTAGTTATTGATTTTCATGAAAGAATAATGAACAGTTATCCCCTTACATAGGGGAGTAGTTATTGGGATGTATGAAGTCAACTTCTTTATTTGTCTACATATTATTAATTGATGATATCACATTACAATGTTGACATAATATTACGGTTGCAATAAATTTTTTTCCTAGTTTAGGGACAGATCCAAGAATTAAGTCTTGACAATACACTTGCAACAAATCTCTATACAATTGTGAATTTAGAAAATAAAGTTTCACACAGGGGACAAGGATGGTGGGGCATTTTCTTTGCAATTGTAACATTAAATTATTAGCACTTTAGGGGTTGTCCGGTGGTCAAATTTGTCTTTCTTACAAGTAAGAAGTCTGAGGTTCGATATTTCTCACATCTCCTAATAGTCAATTACCCTTGTTTCTCAAGAGATACGTCCTTCAACTAACTCGAGTTATGATGGCCAGCTCAAAGCTGACTATAGCTTGAGTTACGATTATCAGCTTAGAACTCGAAAAAGTAGTTGATACAAGTCTAGACACCCTGTAACAAAAAAAATAATAATTTTAAGGTTATGCACTGATTAAATGCGTACTCGTGTGATCAATCGATAGACGGAGGAACTGTGTGCATGGCGAGACCGATCTAACCTGAAGTAAAGACTCTTTCCTCTCTTGATGTCGAATTACTAGATACCATATTCACTTGGGGTGTTTTTTGTTTCACATGAAAAATATATATACAAATGTATGATAAATGAATCAAGCTTGAACTTGAGCCTACCGCTCAGGCTTGGGTTGAATATTAAACAAAGCTTTTAAAATTTTATCATATTCCATTCATTTTCTAATACAAAAGAGCATAAATGTGTCAAAATTGAGTTGAGCTTGAACGATTCGATTCGTTTAACAGTCATCGTACAACATATTTGCAACATAAATAGCTAAAAAATATAGGTTTAATATTTCATCAACTCTACTTCCATCAGATGAACTATTTTCTTGAATAAACTGCATTATATGAACACAAGAGAGTTGGCATTTTCAGGAAAAAGCTCGCCTTCTTCGCCGGAGCAATGAACTCTCGAGTCCGCGGATACCTCCTTCAACAATGGCGAAACGACTCCGAGATCTTTGTCAACCAAGGAAGGCTCAAAACACCTTACTCCGAAGCACTTCTAAACAGCAAGTTCTGCATCCATGCCAAGGGCTTTGAGGTGAACACGGCTCGAATCGGGGATGCAATGTACTATGGCTGTGTTCCCATCATCTTGGCCGACCACTATGACCTCCCATACGCAGATGTATTAGATTGGGAGAGCTTTGCTCTTGTTGTTTCAACGGTTGATATTCCATTGTTGAAGAAAATACTTGGAGAGATAGGTTTTGATGAGTATCGGAGGTTACAGAGAAATGTTGTCAAGGTACAGAAACATTTCCAGTGGCATCATCTTCCTGTAGACTTTGATGCTTTTTACATGGCTATGTATGAGTTGTGGCTCAGGAGGAGTCATGTGAGAGTTCCATTGGGTGCTTTGTAGTAAATCCTGGCACTTGAGAGGAACACATATGTACATTACATTGTCCATACATGAAAAAAAAAAAAAACAATGTTAAGCTCCCGCTATTGTAGGATCTGAGTTAAATGTATGTAATTTTACGTCTACAAACCATTGTTTACGATTGTGTTATTGCATCAATACAAATAAAATAATATAATTTTGTATTTAGTCATGTTCAATTATTTTGAATTTGTATGGTTTGTAAATGACTAGATGTGTGCAATTTTACTCATACAAATGATTGATTACAATTGTGTTATTGTATCGATGCAAATAAAATGTACGTAAATGATTAGCTTAGTGATAGTTTAACCACTTGAATAAACGTCTTTACAGAGGTAGATGTAAGCATTAAAAAATAAGTAACAACATAATATCTATAACTAGGCCCAAATCTAATGAAAAAGGCTTTTAAAACTAAATTGGAATTAACCTACATTTCATAAACTCAAATAATATAGGCCTAAATTTAACATGTTTTTGAAGTTAAATTGTTATGGATTCAAATTTAATTAACCAAACTTCTAATTAAATTAAGTAGGACTTAAATTTCATCAGCCAAAATTAAATAAATTTTTAAAGGTGAAGTAAGTTAGGCTTAAATTCATAAATTAGCTAAAGCCCATAAATTTATTAAAAAAAATGGGTGACCCACTACCTAAGCCTATATAACGGTATTCTAATAACTATTCTTAACACTATAAATAAAGATTTGGGGAAGCTAAGAAGGAGGCCTAGGAGAAAGAATCCAACAAGGGAGGCCAATGATAAAGGAAGATCAAGAAAGCTCTCTTTGAGTCCATCTCAGGAGAAGAAGCGAAGACCAGCATCGAAGCTCTTCGGTCTCTCCAATTAAAATCTTGCAGCAAACTAACAAGTTCCTTCTTCAAGCCATACAATAAAAAGAACAGTGAGAAGATCCAAAAAAACATCTCCAAATTAAAATTCGAAGAACAAAAATCACGTCAATCTGACTTTCGTCTTCAACAAATTTATCGAAGCATCCCCAAATTGAAGATCAAGAATCATGCCTATTAAGCCATCGTCTTCAACAAATCTATCAAAGTCATCATTAAATTGAAGATCGAAAAACACACTGATCAAGGTCTCTTCTTTATAAAATTTTTAAAACTCACCATCAAATCAAAGATCGAGAAATATGTCAATCTGACCCTCGTTATCATTAAATCCACCGAGAATCAGAGGACAATACGCACACCAAAAAAAGTCAAAAACACTAATTTTTAATCAAAGTCAAATTATCAACAATAATAATTTGACATTAATTTTATATTATATTATAGACGAAATTTAACGTTACAATAGATCAGGGATTCAAATATCTCACGAGATGTTTATCTCCTTGAGTCCACCGTCTATAGATTTACTTCTCATCTGGAGAGGCGCCTTTATACAAAATCCAACATTAATCCAATGAGCGAGCAAGAATGTATTGCTGAGATCCCTTGAGATATCAAAAAAAAAAGTCACATGAAAGATTCATACCACCGCTTGAGAAGTTAGAAAATTATAGAGTTAGGGGGCAATAAAAGTAAAAATCACATAAATGGTGGTTAGTTAGAGAAGGGTAGACCAAGAAAGAACACAGACAATTTCATTTTTAATTCAAAATTGTAATGAATTAAAAAATTAAGAGGGACTAGTCAAACCTTCTCACTGTGAAAATTGATTATTTCAAAAAGATAGTTTAGGTAAGTGCCAATTTCCAAATCTTACCACACATGTATGTATAAACTTATACAGAGTTTTTTTTTTTTTTTTTAATACCAAATTATTGTGATATTCTAACTTTATTCTATCTCTACCATGAGTTTTTATTTATTTTTCAATTTATCCTTCTTCTTTTTTTAATAAAAGTAGGGAATGAACCATGGTTTGGCAAATAAGTTAAAAAGAATGGTATTAGGACAACAGTTGAAAAATTATTCTGTAGTATTATGCCTACTTTTTTATCCAATAAAAATGTGAAGCGAATAATATTTTTTTTATTATTATTTTTACAATCAATAACTTTAAATGTAACTATGGTGCTGATTTGTTACCTACCAACCCAATTACCCAAATTCTGGTCATCAAACAGGTTTGAGCTTGATGAAGTTCATAATGTTGCCAAGGGTGGTAGTGGAGAAGAGGAGATGAGAGTCGGTCGACTGAGTTCATTTCAGATGGTGTGTTAAACCCAAACAAAAATTTCTCGACCTTTCATTCCCCAGTTTCAAATTAGAGTCTATCACCTTATCCAAAAACTATGTGCCACTCACAATTGAAGAGACATCCCATTGTTGGTAACATGAGCAATGACTACTTCAGTTGAAAACGGACACTTGTGTGGTAAGAGTTCAGATTGTTGAACTTAAGTGCACTAGTTTGAGCCTGATGCTAGCTATTTTGTGGTTTATAGTTCAGCCTCGTGCTCCAAACCTTCTCGGGCAGTGATTTATCGCTGCATAGATGACGTGGATGTATTCATGTCATCTGATCCACGTAAGAATAATTCACGCAAGAGCCCATGTTCAATTGCCCGGTCCTTTCCAAATATAATGGACAAATCATAAAACATCTGTCTCTAAACCTTTTTGCTCCCTTGTACCTCTATAATACAAACAAATGCAAAGTGAGAATCAGGATTTTCTTCAGACCAAAATCTTTTAAAATATCAATTTTACCCTTCTCTCCAACAGACCAACCACCATCTCCACCGAACCCGCCACACCACCACCACTACCAAGCCAACCACCTCACACCATCACTGCCAAAGCCAAAGAATTAGATTTGCTAGCTAGAGGTTATGTACCATTGTGAATATGTTATTTTAGTCGTGAAAGAAACAGCTAGAGGACCAGTACACCATAGATACAACCCAAAAAAAAAAAACAGAGGAACAAGTGATGGATAAAAAAATATCATTTTCCTTCTTGCCACCATAGTCCAAGAAAGCAGGGAGTAGGTGATATTCAAATGGATATGAAATTGATTGGAAAACACAAACCATTCCAACTACATCAAGAATCTACTGCATCACAGTCCTATTCGAAAGACTATAACCTGAGATAAAATAATTGTAAAATTCTAGTCATACCCAATACATAAATACTAGTAATTCTAACTCGTAATCTGTTCAATAGTTATAAATAGTAAACAAGTTGGACTCTAATTCCGCTATGATTATCAAAATCCAAAGATAATTACAAACCGGCAGTAGTCACAAAAGGGTGAGGAAGTTACAGTCCCCTAATACTTTTGGTTATTCTTAATATAAAATTAAAATTAACTCCTAATCTATGAATGTTAACATTTGTAACTCCTTTCAAGCTAAAACCCATGTTTTATTTTGTTCCCCAGTGTTAATTAATGGTGTGTCATTGGACTCGGATCAAGATCCGTCCACATGGACAAATGAATCCCACCTATGTGGTTGGTGAAAGTTACAAGGATAAACTACCGTCCTAAGTGGAGGTGATCATGGTACCCCATGATTGTGTGGTTACATGGAGGTTACCTTGGTGGTTACCTCCACCCATATACATGTACAAAAATTCTCTGCAGAGTTTTTCAAGAAATGCAGTTTTCCAAAGCAAGCACCCATCCCTCTCCACATACTCTACATCTCTTTGCATTCTCCTTGGGTTAACATCATATACCCTTAGATTTGTGAGCGTGGAAACTCAAGAAGGGACTCTAGTAGCCGTATCTTCTACATAGTACGAGATTTGGATATGTAAGGAAGCTTAGGAAAGCTCTAGTTTGGCATCGTTGGCTAGTAACCAGTATCGATTCGGTTTATCTTTCGGGTTCTTCAAGAGGTACATTGAAAACCCATTACGTGTTAATTATATGTCAACACCCTGAAAGGTGAAAAGTGAGCAGCAGTTTAGATTAGCTGCACTCAATAAGATTGACATTCAAGAAACAACCACCGCCACCACCTTTAATACCTGCACAAGAAGACAGTATTGCAAGTCTTAAACACCATTCGAAGGACACTGCTCATTTGCCTCCTCATCTCCTTCACTTCCCCTCCTCTTCATTCTTCAACTCTCTCTTTCTTACCCAGAAAATGGTTGGAATTCCAGTAGAAGCCCTCTGACCAACTGCCCCTCCTAAGTCCCAACTGCACTTTCGTGCTTTAGTCTTCAAAGTGGGGTAGTAATAACCTATCCTCAGACTTGATTAATGACCTGCTCAATAGTTATACAAGGAAATCAGAATTAGAGACACTGAACCAACTAAACGAGAAAACAGATAATTGCATTCTAGAACAAAATAACAAAGAAGAGCAAAAGACTCTTAGCAGAAAAACAACCAATAGAAAAAAATGCTCGACTATTACCCACATGGAGTTGGTGGGTAATTGCCTTGACCAAGTTGTGGTGATGGTGGTGACTGCACTCCATATAAGCAATTGGAGTGGGCATGACATCGGCAGGCACCTCTCCTGTGTCTCTACATAGCCAAATTTAATTCAACAGTCAAAGTGCTGTAAGGAAATTTCTGTTCTTTTTTTTTTTCTGGCATTTTGACAAACACCTTGCCTGCATTATAAAACATTTTGCTGGGTCACTTATGAGTCATAATTTAACAATTACAGGGGAATAATTGTAGTTCAAGTGAAAAAAGTGAAAAGAAAATCATATTGCCTGTTTACACAAATCAGCATATGTAATTACACACTGATTTGAATTTTTTAGCAGCAAAAGGGGAGTTTCCACTCCATGCTAACAGCCAGGCCACCCACTAATTTGAATCTCTCAAGTGTTATTCATATTGCCATATATTCACTGCTCTTTTTCTTTTCTCTCATTTCTAATGGTACTTTTAGCATCTAGTTGACAGGCAATCTAAATTGGAAATAGATAACCAAATATTTTACAAAAAAAAAATAAATAAAAATAAAGGAGAGCCAATGTGTCAGTCTCAACCGAGTTTAAATCTAACAAAACGTTATATTCTCTAACAATACTATCTTCATTTAGTAGTCACGTGCTTAGGAAATTGAGAAGAAAACAAATATGTTAAACACATGATTTGCTTCCTTTGTAAAACGGATCTGAGATTATTGACGAAATTGATTGAGGAATTACCTGAGATTGGTGGCAAAGTTCGACCTTGTACAGTAGTCGATATGGTCCCTTGCATCACAAAGAGATGAGGAAGAGGCAAAGAATGGAGGTCCTACGTGAAGAGTAGTCATAGAGATGATGTCAGGGGAGGGAGAGAGAGAGAGAGAGAAAGGATCGAAGATAGGGGAGAAGATGATATGGTTCAAAGTATTGGCCGATACCGATACGAGTCGGCGGAGTTGTATCCGACTCGGCACCTTCCGAGATGATACCATTACACGATATGTATAAACCCCGAGTTTCATACAACTCGACCAAGTTGTATCCGAGTCAATCCATATTTACTGAGTTATCATCACTGAAATCAGCCGATACAATTCCGCGACGCCGCGGTATGCCTTGAATCTCTCATCATTTTTAACATTTTCTTTTAGGTCGTATCGTTCGATACCGCGCCGCGCCGCGACACTACCACCGATGTGTCTCAAAACTTTCCGAGTCAATGGCCGATACCACGACCTTGAACCATGAAAGACGAACAATGAGTTGTGGTGAGATGAGAAGTAGATCGGATTTTTTGTTAGATGAATTTAGGTTCATTACCGACTAATTTGGGAATGGGTAACGCCATGGTTAATTTGGTAATCAATAATCCTACATTTTGTGGAATTAGCCATTTCCAAGGAATGGTTAGAAATGAGAATGGATTTTCATTACCACAAACCAAACATACTAAGTAATGATCATTCCATTCCCAAAGCCTAATACTATATATCAAATCAAACGCAGCTAGGTAGTTTGACAACAGAACTGCTTGGATGAACTGAAATGGGAATAGGTGGTTGTGGACTTCTTCATCAAAAAAGAGCTGCTACCAATATGACATTGTAGAATCCAAGCTTCTACCTAGTAAGCATTTCACCATGGACATGATTGATATTGAAATTCAGACTAAACATACCAAAATATATGCACAGTAGAGGTCAACAAACCGTGATAATCAGGAATATCGATTCTGTCATGAGTGACCTCTTCATATAGCCCAATTAGAGGGGGGTTATTGGATGAAATGAACAGAGAGCTTTGTGCGGCTAAACATGTTATCAAAAATGTAACATTAGAACTAAAATTGCATTAGTTATCAGTATCAAAAAGAGTAGCAGTGCACCAGGTCTAAACTATTCAAGTATGAAATCAGAGATACAAATTCCCTGCAGAATTAATGTCAATCAGAGAATGAAATCTCACACATCCACTTCACTAGTATAAAGGCTTCCATGAAATTTTATCGAACAATCTACTGAGAAAATTTTAGATTCCATCAATGAATTGAATATATTATATTGCAAATACACACAAACTACCACCAATTACACAATGAACAATGAATTTAATAACTTGAACAAGATATCCACCATTCCGAGGGATAGAAATGAGAGTTATTGAAGTAAGAATGAAAATTTAAAAGAAAATCCGAAGGAAAACCCTACCTTGCAGTTCTTCATCACACAGTGGTGGTGGTGGCGGGAGGAAGATGGCGTAAGACACCACACTCAAGATGCTTGGACTATCAGGGGCGCCACCATTGATGTTTAAGATCGAGGCCTTTCAAACTTGTGACGACCCTATCAGCAAGTTCATTTCGAAATCACATATGAGAAATCCTATAAATTCATACTTGAAGTATCCTCAAACTTCATGGAAAATCATATGGAATGAAACGGTGTATGCACTAGAATTCAGATTTTGAAGCTCTCAACATAAAAAAAAAATCGTTAGTAGTTCAGTATTCGAAGTGATCGATTGGAACAAACCAAAGAAAGTTCTCAGGAAAATTCAACAAATCAAAACCAAGAAATCGGTTTTCAAAGCTCTTAGTTCAACAGATCTGCAGATTTTAGTATCTCAAACTGAGACATTGAACAATTTGAAGTGGATCAAGAGAACCTAAAGAGTATCAACATTTGTACATACCTCTTCAAAAAGGTGTTGTATAGCACTGTTAAGGTCACCTTCCCAGAATCTCTTCAACCAACTGAATGCACTATTATCTAGTTCTGGTGTAATGAGGATCCCTGGAGAGAAAGTTTGCATATTGGGACAACCTTCCAACCAAACATATTTTAAGGATGGCCATTCCAAAGTATGATGTCCCCAGTAGAAACTTCTGAGGTTTGGTAGATCAACAAGTGTAAGATTTGATAATCGAGGGAACACAAATTTGTCTCCAGAATCTTCTCCTTGTTTTAGAACTTCTTCAACTGAAACACATTCTTCTACAAAGAGCACTTCCAACTTGTGTAGCCTTAAGAGTACTTTGGATGGTACAACTGTTAACAAATTTTTGCATTCTGTAGCATGAAGATGACATAGTTGACCAAAGGACTCCCCTACAATTTCATTTTGCCATATCTCCTTCAGGTTGTCCAGTCTCCTGAGATCCAGTTTCATCAAGGTGGGCAATACAACCTGTAGAATTTATGTTATACTACACATGGATTTTGGATGATTAAGACTTCAGGCAAATCATGTATTCTTCAAGGAGAAAGAAAAGGAACTGGAATTTCATTTGTTTGATTAATATTTAAAATAAGAATATTCATCAACATTAATTAAAAACTTTACCACCTAGAAAAATTCTTACACCCTGGATTCATCTGATTGGCAATTTCACAGTCATCTGGCGGGATTGAGAAAAAAAAAACAAAATACAATAGCCCGTGACTCAAACAAAAAGAAAAAGATATAGAGAACTAAAAATCACCAATAAAAATCTACCTATTAAAATGCCAAAACGTTTTCTTTGCATGTCTCGGTCTGGAGTGCTATAAAAAGCAAAAAAAAGAGTATCTAGCTTGACGTTTGGGTCCAGTCAGGTTCAAGTTGATCATGCCGCTTCAGTCTAAATTTATTGCAAGTACAAGAATGTGGCATGAACATTTTTAACTGACGTGGTGAATTGAGTGAGGAATAGGGGAACAGAGTGGTAGAGACCACAATTAGTATTGGTGACAAGTTCACATCTTCTATCTTGAAAATTGATAATCCGATGGAATTATCACCCTTAATATATCCACAAGAACACATGAGAATATTTTTCCCAGTTTGTCAGTTTTAATATAGACATGGTTTAGAAACACATCAGAAAAGAGAGCACATACCTTTTCATTGAAAAATGGTTGTATGGTAATACTAGCGTTTGCTTCCTGAATCGTTTGTCCCTCCAACCCCTCTTCAGTTGCTGGTTTTGGTCTTTCTGTGCCTGAAGTTGCAAATGTTTGCATCTTGGGACACATTTTAATCCTCAATTCCTCCAAGGACTGGAACTCTAAACTACATTTTCCTTGGTAGAAACATGTGAGTTCAGGCAAGTGAGCAAGCTCGAGGGTGCGTAATTGAGGGAACACAATTGTCTGAATGGCCTCTCCTTCTTTGTCCCTTTCAGTCGCAATTATAGCTTTCATCATGTCGCATCCTCTTAAATTCAGATTTTGAAGTTGAATAAGATCTTTCAATGCAGAAAAAGAGAAAAGATATTCCCTACATTTGCATCCTTCTATTGTCATATTTCTGAGATTCTGGAAGCTAAGAAATTCATTGCAGACCTTGTTCCACCATATAGCCTTCAATCTTGGTAAACCCCCCAGTTGAAAATTCATTATCCTAGGAAGAGCTACTGAAGTAGCCTCGTGTCCTTCACATATTTCCTCTACCGAATTACAATCTGAAACAGAGAAATCTACTAAATTCTGTAACAACTCTCCCGGATTGGATGGAAAAATTGTGATCAGGTTTTTACAGTTGCATATTGAAAGATTTCTCAATCTGTTGAAGCTCTCCACACAAAGCAAGTTTTGGTGCCATATCTCTTCCACGTTGTCCAGTCCCCTGAGATGCAAACTCTCCAAGGCTGAAAATATAACCTGCAGAATTAAATTATATTGTCACAAGAAGTTTGAGCAACTATGACAAGTTCTATAAACTTGAATTCCAGAAGAACTCATTTTAGTAACACAGATTCCAGGGGGAAAAACAAAGAGAGAGAGAGAGAGAGAGAGAGAGAGAGAAGGAGAAGAAGACAACAAATATCATAATTGGGACCAAAATTGCATTGATGGTCACATACCTTTCCATTGAAGAGAGGCTCATGTGACACGCCATGAAGACTACTACTTGGAGCTGAACTATTTGTTCTGGGGAAAAAACTCATGAGGTTTGGTAGATTAGCAAGTGTCAAGGATTCCAATTTGGGTAAAACAATTTCATGCACTTGTGCCGCTGCTCCTTCTACATTAATAATGTTTTGGCAACGAACTATTGACAATGTTCTTAAACAGTAGAAACTCTCAGCAGGAAGCAATTGTCGATGCCATGTCTCTTTCATGTTGTCCAGTCCCTCGAGATGCAAACTCTCTAAGACTGGAAATACAACCTGCATAAATATATTGTATTCACATGAATTTTGACTAATTAGGAGAAATACCGTAGACATGAATTCTACAAGGACTCTTTTTTGTAACACATTTTCCTAGGGGGGAAAAAAGAGAGAATTTCAGATTTAGGACAAAATTAGAGTGATGGTCACATACCTTTCTATTGAAGAGAGGTTCATGTGCCTGGACATGAAGACTGCTATCTGAAATGAAGCTATTTGTTTTGTGCGACAAACTCATGAGGTTTGGTAGATCAGTAATTGTCAAGGATATCAACTTGGGAAACACAATTTCATTCTCTTGTGCCGTTGGTCCTTCTGCTTTGCTTGCAAGTATTACTTCCATATTGTCGCAGCTGCGGAGAGATAGGTGTTGGAGCTGTCCAAGATCGCCGGCTGTATATTTGCAGAATAGGTATTTCATTTTGTGACAAGCATACACCTTTACATCCATTAGGTTGGCAAGGCATGCGTGGCTAGCGGGATCCTCCCACAAATTAACTGTGTTAGGTAAGTTCGATAGCTTCAACTCACGTAGTTCACAAAAAGATCTAGATGGGAGATGGCCATGGCATATCTGTCGCAAGTCTTGCATGCTCGAGAGGTTTATTCTCTCCACAATAGGAAGGACAGAACGTGGCATCCACTTCTCTGTGTTAACTAGATATTCAATCCCACTACAACTTTCAACATACAAGCTCTTCAAATTTGGAAACTCATTGTCTATTGAATCATAGGAGACATATCCGAAAACCTTCACATTTCGTATTATCACTATTTGAGCTCTTTTCACCAGGGTAAAAAGCCCACAGCCTTCTACACTAATACTTCCACATCTTGCGAGGTTCACATTCACTGTGTTCTCTTCAGACTGGTGAAAAGCACACTCTTCGCCGATTCCAATTTTATATTTCATCAACTGATTCCCAGACAGTAGATCTTTTGGATAAAACTCGACATTTGGTGTATGCACTTCTATGGCTCTTAAGTAAGAAAGATGTTTTAACTCAGCGAGGTTTGCATTACTTATTCCCATGTCTTGAACGTCAACACCCCAATCCTTGAAACTGTTTCCCATGTACAAGCATTCCAGTCGCGTTAAGCTTGCTATGACACCAACTGGAATTACCTTTAACTTATGACAATCTGTCAAATCTAAGAGCTTCAAACTAGTGAGGTGTCCCATTTCTTTTGGTAACTCCTTAACTTCAGAGCCAACAAAGCTGAGAATTTCTAGTTCCTTCAAACCTCCAATCATAGATATATCTGGTAGCTTGCATCCATTTAAGAATAATGTTCGAAGTTTCTTTAAACATTCAACCGAGGGTGGCATTGATGGAATAGACATGGCAGACATGTCTAAAACTCTCAGGTTTTTCATGCCTTCAAAAAAGGCACCTGAAAAATGGACTAAACTGCGGTCATTTCTCAACAACAAGATCTCAAGTTTTAGACAGTCAGAGCCTTCAGGGAATTCTTGGATAATATTATCAAGCAGTGATATTGCAGTATAACGGTTGAGTGCCTCATCTTTAGGCCATGCCGTCAATCTAGAACCAGCTCTTACCAAAAAAACATGCCCAACACTAGATGCCACTGCTATGGCAAAATCTCTAACAACATCATGCATTCTAACAGACTCTCTGATTTTTCCATGTAACAGCAAACAACATGCTTTAAGGTTGTCAACTAATGATTCTACTCTGCCTCTTGCATCAATAATATTATTGATATTTCCAAACAATCTTAAACCCATTCCATATCTCACCAAAGATTCGATCGGAATATCACGGTCTTCTGGAAATAGACAGCACAGTAAGAAAAAATATCTGAGTTCTTCACTTTCCAAATAGTTATAACTCAACTCTAGCCTCGAATAAACATCACCATGCATGCCTTTGATAGTTTTCGGTTCAGAATTCCTCAATTGGTGAAGTGCATCACTCCACACCTGACAACCCTTACCCTTCAAAGCTGCTGCAACTGTAACAATTGCAATAGGCAAACCTGCACACTCTTCAGCTACCTTGGTTGCTATTGGATGCACATCTCGTGATTCAACAATATTACCTGCCGTTTTCTTGAATAATGCCCATGAATCTATACTAGACAATACCTTGATGGCAAAAATTCTCTGAGCATTCATCTTAGTGCATAAATCTTGGTCTCGAGATGTCAAAAGAATTTTGCATCCTTTATGAGCACTATGGTAAGGGATTCCTATAGCTTCCAAATCAAGCCCTGTCCACAAATCATCTAGGATTACAAGTATTTTCTTCACTTTCTTTATTTTTTCACATAAGCGGCCTGCCCTACCGGAATCACTTTCAACATCAAATTTAAAGCCTAATTTGTCAGCAATTTCCCCTTGGATTTTCCATGTGCTTGGCGTTTGGGACACCACTGCCATCACTACCTCATCAAAGAGGCGGTGTTTCTCAGCAAGCTTTGCAACTTCTTTGATTGCTGTGGTCTTTCCAACACCCGCCATCCCATACACTCCAATTATTTTGATCTGATCATCTTCCAATGCTTCAATTATCTCCTCAAAAGTTTTTATTCTGGACTCAAAAACTTGCATCTCTCTCGTAGATATGGACTCAAATCTTGGTGGGGGCGCAGGGTGCGAAACAGTGTCAAACTTACCTTCACATTTTAGCTTATCAATAGCCAAACTCTTCTCCTTTGCCCTCTTGCCTACTTGGTAGCGCGACTTCAAATCAGGGCACAACCCAATAAAGCACTTGTTGTTTAGAGCAGCTTCGTCTAGTAAAAATCGGTCAGAATCTTGTTTAATTGCGTCTACGTTTGTCAGCCATTCCTTAACAACAGGTAGGATGACTTGGGCATTCCTATCGGCTACATCAACTGTTCCTTGGATTCCATCTCGAACAAGGTCTAGTTCCCCAGATTGAGTTCTGAGGTCGTTAATATTGCGGTGATAGTGAATTATATAACCAATTCGACGCCCAATTTGTGCAACCAAGTAGTATCCAATTGTTGTAGCAATTGAACCAAGAAAACCAACAGCTGCATCCATTCTTGTTTGTTTGTTTTTTTTTTTCTGATTTTTTTTTCTCCCACTGGAATAACAGACAGATATAACGGAAAACAGAGGGACTGTACAACAACAAACAACGATGCTAGAGGAAATTAATGGAGAAGAGTCTAAAACTAACAATATTAGAAGAAGTTAATGCAAAGGGTCTGCAAAAAGTGCCTGTCCAGGAACTGAGATGGAAGATGAACTTTGATACAAGCACAGCACATGCAGATATTCGCCAGCACACTCCTAAACCCAAAAAAAAAAAGAGTGAGAATATCAGAAGAAGAGCAGAGTAGAGGCTGGCCGGAAAATGATACTGATTATGAGAGGTAGTGTGCTACAGTGTCTCTAGGTTTGCGATTTAAGTTTAAGATGGGTTGGACCATGTCTTTAAAAAAGATTGAATTTAATATCTCTAAATAAGATTAATAATCAAGCTAAGATTGAATTTAATATCTCTAAATAAGATTAATAATCAAGCTTGAGCTCATTTTTTTAACAAACTTAAAAAAAAATTATTCAAATTTGATTTGTTTAAAAAATAAATTAAGCCTGAACTGAGCTTCTGAGAGACTTATTTAATATCCCAAATATGGAGGTATAACTTGACACGTGATAATACATGCACCTATAATTCAAAGATGCATTTAAACTAATAATACCAACTAATGATATTATGAAAGAGATAAATTATACAACTCTATGGCAGAGTATACAACTGTGCAACTTAAATCAAAACAAAACATTAGAGAATTCATCTATTACATCAATAAGAAAACGAACATTCGTAAACAAGCAGTTTTCTTAACTTCCTATTTCAACTTTGCTAATATTGTAGTAGATCCAACTCTAAACTTTAATTTCCTGAAAATAAATATTTTCGTAAGCGTATTGTGCATCATAATGAATAGAAATGTTAAAAATATGGCCAAATATTATTTTACCAAAATATATTCACAATCTGAAGAAAATGACAAAATCAAAGTGTTTTTAACTCACTTTAAAATCTCACAATTATTGCTAAAATAACAACATAATAAATAGCTCACATGTGCTATGAATTAATAATAATATTTAAATAATGTCAAGCTATCTATAACATTTAAGCAATGTTAAGCTGTCTTACGACAACTACACAATGTCTAAATCAACAACTTATAAGTCATGTCAAGTTATCAATAACTCTAACTAGGGGTGCAACTTGGGCGGGTTGAGAGGTCAATTCTAACCCAATCCTAGGTATATAACCTTCAACTCTAACCCTAATTTTACCTCAACCCGAGTGCTAACCGAGTTTAATTCAGGCGGGCTCGGGTTACCTAATTCGGACTGATTTTGAGTTAAAAAATCAGGTTGGACTTAAGTTACTTAATTCAGGTCGATTTTTTGAAGTGTAGATTTGATTTTTTTCAAATGTAGATCTGATTTTTTCAAGTGATCTGAGATGAAGGGCAAGACACAAATAAAGAGAGAGCGAAGGGTGACAAGTGAGAGAAGAATCTGGGAGTGATGGAGGCACAGAGTAAAGACTTAAAAGTGAAGCAAAAATCTGAATTCTAAAAAGTGAAGATAAATATTATCCCTAATTAAATATATTTATATATTTAAGTATATTCGGTTTTAACCCAATTTTAATATTCGGGTTGAACCCGACAACCTAAGGCTTGCCCAAATTCAATTCGAATTGCAGTTGTTTTTGCCCACACCCAACCCAAGTATTAAATATTCTGACCTAAGTCCTGTTTTTTTGAGTTGAGCTCGAGTTGAATTCAGATTGCGCCACCCAAATTACACCCTTAACTTTAACACAATGGATACTACTTAAATCACAAGGTTTTTAACAAACCACAAGTTTTGCAACAAAACACAAGTTTTTCAACAAAATACATTTGATCAATTATTTGCTCAACTCAATATCAATCAAGTCATCAAAATTTCATTTCACATAGTGAAATAACTAATAGCAATCATATATTTTTATTTTCAATTATTATGAAGCAGTACGCTTCACTTGTCATCACTAACCAACACACCACTCAGCTTTATGTTCGATCCCTAAGTGGAATCAGTATAGTGTCTTCTGGACCATACACAATGAGTTTTAACTCCAAATAACTCAACCGATGCAAACGTATGTGTATGAGCATATTTCATTTTAAGTTTTGTTCATTCTGATTCAACTCGACTTAGATCAAGACAACTTCAATCTCATGACTATTTTCATAATAACTCAACATGAAATTAAATGAGTTAGAAAGTAAGCTTCTTAAGGTTTCTAACAACCTCCCATAGACCATGTTTCAATTATTTTTCAATAAGTTTTCAAATTCGATAAGTGGACTATTTTTAGTTATTTTTAAACTAAAAATTGAATTTATACATAAATAATATGATATTCTACCAAATACCATCGGAAAGGTCTCTGAATCTAATTTCCAACAAAATTGACGGTGCATCAATTCAAGTATTCTATAAAAAAAATTAAGCCCATTTTACCAAAGGGTGTCAAAGTTGTCCATTATCTCTCATATTCGAATTTTTCAATATTTTATTTATTTGATCAAACCCAGTTCAATTTATTTCATACCACATTTAACTCAAATAAGGTCAAGTCACTTAAGCCCCATTTTTGCTCGTTTGCTTCACTCAAATATTTTCTCGAATACTTTACATGCATTAAAATCACATTAGGACCCATCGCGCTGAGTTTAATTAAAACAAGTTTCTGTCTTTACTAAAATAACAAGAACCCAAATTAATCATAAAGTATACTTCATAAGCATTCTAACTATAGGTCATGAATTAAAATTGAGATTCTATGTGAAAAGTTATGTTCACTTGTTTATAAACGTACTAATCTAATTTTTTTCCATCAGTTGCAATATATCAGTCAACTTCAAACAATCAATTCTAATTCTATTCTAGTTTTCACACAAATAGAATTAGATTTTGTATCATATATGGTTAAAAAGATCTATGAGTTTATATTCTAACAAAAAAATATGGTGCACAAATCCGAATTTTTTAGAGAGAGTTATCGTCGTTGTCCCACTAACTACCCAAGTTGTCTGTCAAAACCGGATTAAAAACTAACTTCTTAACAAAATTACCAATAGATACAATTTCATCAACTTAATTTTCCGCAGCATGATAACAGCTTCTTGATTTTAGAAACTCCAAATTCGTAGTACTTATATGAATAAATGTTACCTTCTCACCGAAATCTAGCTTCCATATTGATATATAGCATTTTTTTTACCCAAAAAATATCAATTGGAAGAAAAATAAAAAATTAAACAAAACCAACTTCTCTTGAAAAAATTGACTGGTATATATGAAATTTTTTTGAGCTAAAGTGTATATTAAATTCAAACTACAGTTAATACCATACTCAAATTTGATGAGAATCAGAGTTAATCTCACTGTTAAATTTTCACTTGAAGCCACGGTTCTCTTTATCCCTTTCTTCATTCATTCTCCGATCTTCCTTTCTGCTTTTTCTTCCTTTTGTTTTTTTTTGTTTGTTCCTTTCTTTTTAATTTGACCATGGTCTTCTACTTCAGACATGGTTCAAGGTATCAGCCGAGTCCGATACGACTCGGCTAAATTGTATCTGACTCGGCCATTGACGATACGATAATGATACACGAATTGCAAGATTGACGATTTTTACTAATATCGGCAAGATATCGGACGTCTCGGTCGAAATCAATAGTGTCGGTGATAAATTGGTTCAACTCAAATGACTCCTATCGGAATCTTTCCGAGTCGAACACGACAGTGAAAAAATCCACCCATATCTGTGAAAAAGAGCAAAATCCCCCCATATTTGCAAAAAAGTTCAACACCCGTGTCACCCACACCTCTATAAAAGCTTAAAACTCTTAATCATTTTTCTAAAAATTGAACAAAAATCCAAAAAAAAAAAGGAGATGGAAAATAAAGCAGACCCACTATCAGTAAATCCATGTGAAAATTTCTGAAATCACATGAATCTTGACGCAACAAACCCCTATAAAAACCAAGAATACTAAGGATTCGAGTCATTCGACATACATGTATTGTTCTTCTTTTTCATTTGGTCTTATATTGTTCGATTCTTTGTTGAGACGATCTCGTTCGAGTTTTTGTGGAGACGATCTTTTTCGGTCTCTGTCGGTGAGGGATCGTGGTCGTCTCTCTGTCTGCACCTTTCTTTCTCTTTTTGTTGTTGTGATTGAGAAGTGAGCAGTGAAATTGTCTGAAGAGCTCTGAATCGTAGAGGTAAAGTGGGTAGGAAAAGGAATTAAAAACTCTTTAAAAGTTGTCTGTCTTTTTTTTTTTGAACCGAGTGTTTATATATTTAAATTTGTCTTAAAGGTAACATTAAAGTGGTAGTTCAATTGGGGGGAGTTGCTAAGTGCTTAGGTGCAGGTCACTGGTTTGACTCCTCCAAGGCTCCAATATGTTGTTTTACATTATATTAGTTACAATTTCATTATGTGTTTATATATTTATATTTGTCTTAAAAGTAATATAAAAGTGGTAGTTTAATTGGATGGAGTTGCTAAGGGCTAAGTTGCAAGTTACTTGTTCGACTCCTCTAACATTATGTGTTTATATATTTATATTTGTCTTAAAGGTAGCATAAAAGTGGTAGTTTAATAGGGTGGAGTTGCTAGCTAAGTTGCAGGCCACTGGTTCGACTCTTTCAATGTTTCAATATTTTGTTTTACATTATTTTAGTTACAATTATATTTAAATTACTCTAGAGAGGCACAAATGCGCTTGGGTTCTATTTTTTCAGAGATGCAATTGTTACAATTGCATTATTGTTATATTTAAATTACTTATTTATTAAATAAATATTATAAGTATTATTTTTTAAAATTATAACTTTAATCTAATAATTAGATACATTAATATTTTATAATAATAAATGAGTGAATATAATTTCTATTTTTTTTATTTATAAAAAATATATGTTATATTTCAAATTATGTAAAATTAAATGTTACAATTACATTTTTTTTATATTTAAACTATTTCAATCAATTGCATGTTACTTATTTAATTATTTGGAATTTGTGATATTGTAGAATAACTCCTAAACAACACGACATTGGTTAGGATCACGCAAAACCTGTTGATGGTGATCGACGAATAACAAAGTGCATCTATTGTGGTAAAATAGTTCATGGTGGCATTACTCGAATGAAACAACATATTGCACATATATCCGGCTAGGTGGAAGGATGTCCACATGCACCAAAAGAAGTGTCACAATTCTTGAGACAACGTCTCAATGATTGTAGTAAAGAAAGGGCTTCTATAAAAAAGAAAAAGAACGAATTATACAATCATTACGAAATGAAGATTTTTATAACCTGGATGATGATGATGATGGTGAGAATCAAGTTGAAGAGGATGATTTTGAAAGAAGACAGTTAAAACATGTAATGAAGGAAAGTTGTCAAATGACTTGGATGGAGGAAGAGAGTCGTAGATACTCTGTATCACAACCATCAGGCTCAAGAATCAAGCGCAGACCGCCACGTAGCTATAGTGTAAAAGAAGGTGTCAGCGTGCCAGTTCATGGTGGCATTGATTCGTACATGTTCTCGCCTAAACAAAAGTCAGTAAAAGACATGTTCTCAGGTGAGAACTTGAAAAAAGTGGCAAAAGCTATTTCGAAATTTTTCCTCTTCAATGCAATACCATTCAATGCAGCTGATAGTGGCCTTTACTATCAGTCAATGATTGACACTATTGCGGAAGCAGGCCCAGGAATAAAAGGCCCCATAGGATATCAAATTGGTAATTCTTATTTGGAGGAGGAGGAGGTTCAAGAGCTTGACGTGTATATATCCTCGATGAAGGTAAAATGGCTACATTGAACATTGATAATGATAATTATTTTTGGTACCGATTTTATGTTTCATTTTAATTATGTTTAATGTGTTTTTGGATGTATTGTGGACATATAATGTATGAATGATGATGTCTATATTTTTAGAATTTTCTATAATTTTTTCAAATTTTTTTGGAGCTTCAATCTTGCGTTTTGAGCGTATCGGCCGATACTGCGTCACGATGCTGCGACCGATGTGTATTAGCACCCTTCGAGTCGATGACCGATACCACGACTTTGAACCATGACTTCATATGATTACAACTTTATGCACTAATTACACTTTTATCCTTTGAAGAATTTAACTCTCATCCATAACGTTTTTTCCAATAATTTCAATAATTGTAATTTAATCCCGATCTTCTCACTTCAATTCAATTCCACTCTTGTAGCTTATATATTGATGGTGTCACGAAATTAACAGCTTAAGCCCAACAGAGATTAGGTGGTGCTGAGACAAATGATTCCGTGAAATATTGGTCTGTAACTAATATTGCTAGGAATGTAAGTAGTTCACCTTAACTGAAGAACTAAGGCTACGTCCACTATCAATGGAGTCTCTTGCTCGTTGAGTTTATATATTCATCGGTCAGCGAATAGCCTCCGGCAAGTTGGGGGTCGGAGCCCATTTGCAAGGAATGAATATCTAGGTGCTCCTTTTTTCGGGGGGAGATAATGCTCAAAGAGACCAAATAGAGAGTGTCTTTTTCTTCTTCTCATCACTGTCTATTTATACCAACTCTTCATAGGGCATCCGGTTGTCCTTTCCTCTAACCCCTCTCCTGCTTCATCTGCTGTCACGATCACTGTTCATCCGGCGCTGCCGGTGCCATGATCTTTGGCGACTTGGTGTTCCACCTTCTCTGAAATTGTTGTAGGTGTCAGGGGCGGTCTCCTGTGGTCCCCTCTGATCCTTCAGAAGTAACTTGGATTGGGCTGTTATTCCTTGGATCGTTTTATGGTTTGGGCCGGTACTAGGTCGCTGGGCTATAGGTTGTTTCTAATGCCAGGTGATCACGTTTCTGTTCCGGGCTCCTTGGGCTGGTTAGACTTTTGGGTCACTAAGGCCTAGACTCAAATTTCGTCCATATTAGTTCCCCCCAGCCCCAGGTCAAAAAGGTGTTTCTGGCCTGGGGTTAAGAATGACTTTCCTGGGGTTGTTACGGGCTTTCGAAGTGATATCTATGCTTGGTTATTGGATTGCAGTTTTGTTAGCGATGACGGGATGGTAACGTACACGTGTCATCATTAGGTGAACTCGTGGGCCTAGCTTTTATGGCGTGTCCCATCACCTGCTCGTCATGAATTTAATGCTTCACACATACATATACGTTTCTCATTTAAAGAGGGGGAAGATTTCTTGGCTTCTGTTCTGCGATTCTGGCTCCCATTCTTTCTCGTGCTCCCTTTTCTGTGAAGTGTTTAGACCCGGGGCTGGGCGACGCGTGACATCCTTGTCTTTGGTTCCTTTCTTCCTCTAGTGTTTTACTATGTACGTCTTTCTTCCTTTCCCCTTGCTATTTCATTCTGGATCCATTTAACCCTCCCTGGTGGGGTTTCGGGTTCCGTTTTTTGGTCTGGAGGTTTAGTTATTTCAGAAAGTACTCCAATGATCTCTCTTCCCTTTGGCGATTTGTAGATCGTGCTTCAGTGGCAAGGGTGTCCTTGCTTAGGGCTTGGTGCCTGAAACCCCTATTTTTGGTGGATTGTGCTTTGCATTTCCCCTTCCTTCATTCTGGCACGAGATCTAACCTTTTGATGGGGAAGTTCGTTGTTTCTTCCTCTTCTTCCGAGTCGGATTCTGTTAGTGGGAAAAACAAGGAGACCACCACGACTTCTTCTAGCGGGTGTTCCCTTTTTGCCAAAGGTGGAGCCCCTAAGTCTATTCCTGGAACTTCATTCCTGATGCCTCTGATGGAAGCTGTACCTCTTTTTACCCTTCCTTTTGGTCCTCCGGCTCGTTGGAAGAAAAGGAAATTTGAGGTGGCGCTACCCCCCGCTTCAAAAAAATGGACTCGTCACGAGCCATCTGACCTGACTTGTTGTGCGGAGGGGACTCCTAGTTGTCTTGATGACAAGTATTTGAAGGAGTTGAGACGCGAATATCACTTTCCTTACTTTGTAGAGTTATATTCTCTTGGAAGGCACGAAAGGTGCAATTCTATCCTCCCTGGACTCACTTGCTTCTTTGAGTTTGCATTTCGGGCTGGTCTTCGATTTCCTATTCATCTCTTCATCCGTAACATTCTTGGATTCTACAATGTCTACCCAGCCCAGTTGTCTCCCAATGGCTGGGGTCTGCTGATCGGTTTCCTCGTCCATTGGTTTGAGAATGGGAACCTATATCTTCCCTCCATACGGGAATATACTTTTCTTTTCCAGTTGAAGTCCTCTCCCTCCCTAGACTTCTTCTATTTTGCCAAACGACTAAGGAAGAAGACCCTGATCTCCGGGCTTCCGTCAGCCAATAAAGGATGAAAACCGAGGTTCTTTTTCGCCAGGGGCGATTCTTGGGAGTTGTCAGGGGAGCCTGGCGACGTTCCCCGTATTCCAAGGTTTTGGGGGGTCCTGAGGAACACCCATAAGGCTAATTTACCGACCGCATTCCCTTTAGTTATTTCTCTCTTCCTCTTTTTTTTTTTTTTTTTTTTGTTTCTAACCATTGATTTGGCTTGTAGAATTCTGCCCGACACTTGGTATAGAAGAGACAGCCCGAATTGCTAGAATCGAGGCCTTTGGGTTGAGGGACTTTTTTGACTTGGTAACCGACGAGAATCTTGCTAAACACGGGCTGGGGCCACCTATTACTCGAGCTTCCAAGGTCGCATCTCCATTTACTTCCCAATCGGGGATATGGATCAAGATTTGATTATGTCAATGTTCTCAAATGCAGAGCAGTCAAGAAAGAGGAAAAGGTTTGCAAAGAGAAGCCAGCTGTCTTCCAAAGAGGCATCGGCCACTAGGTCCATACCTGCGTCTCTAGGTCAGGAGAGTGGAGTCGCTCCTACCCAAAGGGACGCTGCTGTGCCCCTGTCTTCTCCTGCACTTCCAGAGGGTAACGTTGGCTCAGAGGGAGTTTCAGCGGACAAGCTCAGGTCCTGGGCTTCCCATTCAACGTCACTTGAGGCGGCTCCTCCGGTGGGTAGAAAGGAGGAGTCTGTCCCTTCCATTCCCAAGGTGCATGGGGGAGACTTTCTTCGCGATCCTGAGGCCGCAGTAGCTGCTCTATTAGAGTTGATCTCTATGTCAGACCCTCAGTTGGCAATGGAGGTTCCCTTTGAGAGGAAGATCTAGCACACCCTCCAAGGCCTGCCCGAGGTTCCCTTTTGTTTTGCTTTTCTACTCAGTCCTTGGACTCTTTTCCTATTTTCTCTACTGACCATCTTTCTTTAATTATTTTTTACAATCGTTCACCTGTGTGAAGATGTTAGATGTACATCATGAACGGGATCTTCAGAAGGCTAAGGATGCTCTTGACGCTATGATGGTCAGCAAGGATGCCGCCGAGGGGAAGTTACGAGTTGTGTATTCCGAGGTCTCTGAGTTGAAAAGAATTAATGATGAATTAGACTCTTGTCATAAGGACCATATTGCGCTCAAAGAGTTGCAGATCAGGGGTTTGGAAGCTAACCTGAAGGCTAAGGACGTGGATCTCGTGGCCAAGGATGATGAAATCAAGGCTAAGGCTGCAAGCCTAGAGGCCAGGGATTCTGAGCTATCATCTTTGAAGGCCCAGGTGTCTAAACTATTCAAAAAGTGCACCTCAGCTTTTGTTGATGGGTTCCTGAACTATAGGGATCAGGTGGAGGAGGCTTATCTGGACCTCGACCTCTATTCCTTCGCGCCCCATCTTGAATTTAAGAAGAGATCTGTAACTGCTAAAGAAGTCACAGAACTGGGTAGCATGGGAGCTTTTGCCTCTAAGGAACCTGACGTCTCAGTTGGGAAGACTGGCCAAGGAGTCGACGGCAGTGGTAAGGTGCCTATCTGAGATGGACCCACGGTTGCCCATCTTTTTCATTTTCGATGATTTTGACGAAGATCTTTATAATATCTCACCTTTGTTATTTCTCTTTCTTGCCTGTAAACAATATCTTTTTCTATGGTTTTGAATGACAATGAAGATGTTGTTTGCTGGCTTTGGGATCCTTAATTTATAGCTCTCGAGCTGCTTCACATGGCCGTGGTGGGGCTAGGGGGTTGGCCTCATGTAGTCGAGCTGGTTAATCGTGAGCCAGGACGAGAGGGCAGACCCTTCCAATAGTCTCATCCCCTTTGCTTTAAGTGTTTTCCCATAGATTATGGGGTCACTTTAGTCTTTTCCCATTTCTTTCTCCATACTTTAGTCATGACGGTTTGATCTGTTAAAAAACGTGTGCCGCCAGTGGGGATAGTGGCTTGCTGATCGTGATGTGTCGGTGATTCTCATGATGCCACGTGTTCCCCTTTTAAATGCGAGGGACGTACATTAATTACGCCCGGGCTGAGATGATGAATGTCCCATTAGTTAGGGTTATAAATAGGCGTCTCTGTGGACTGACTACCTTTGCTTAGGCGTTAAAAACTCCTCGCTTTCTTCGTGATCACAATTTTTCACCTCTAGTGTCTTGCCTTAGGAAGATATTTTTCTCTTATTCCTATAGCCAGGGTTCCTCCCTCTTCTCGCGATGTTATGGAACGTCTCTTTTTCAACGTTGAAGCTAGTGAGATTGGGGAGGAGGAGGCTCATTCTCTCGCCCGACATTTTGATATCCCGCCTGGTGTGGTAATCCGTCATGCAGACTTGCGTCGTTTTCACTACCTGGTCCGAGATGAGGCCTATTTTTTTTAGGCCCTTTTTCTGCTAGGGCTGCGATTTCCCCTTCCCTCATTTATCAGGGAGGTCTTGTATTTTTTTGGCTTTTGCCCCGTCATGCTTCTTCCTGCGGCCTGGGCGGTCCTGTTAGGTTTCATAGCAATGTGGGGGAGGTTGTTTCCTCAGTCTAA